GCTCAGTATGAAGGCCCTGGCTTCCACCCTAGTAGTGGACCAAAAAAAAAAAAAAAAAAAACCAGTTCCACGGTCAAGCGTGACCATGACCCAATTACTTCTGGGTCCATTTCCTCGCATTTCCTCACTGGCAACAGGCGGTTCTGCAGTTCTGAAATGTCAGCAGAATGGGGACGCAAACAGTAGTAGAAAAGTGCCAGAAGTTTTCCTCGAGGGCCGCTGCCTTTCTCTCAAATCCCCCAGCCCTGCCCCAAACTCAGTGAGACCGTCATGCTCCCAGGTCTCTGCGGGTAAGTCTTCCGCATCCTCGGCTGGTTATCATCTAGGTTTAGACAGTCTTCCCTCCTCGCCCACCAGGAACTGGAACTGGCAGTTAGTTGACAGGGTCCCCAAACACAGACTCAGCTCCCGGGAGGGGGCACCTGCCGCAGGCTAATGTTGCACTGAGTGAGCAGAGCTCCCGGAGCGGAGCGAGGCTGCTTCTCACCCTAGCGACAGCAGCCCCTGTGTCGGCGCCCTGCTCGGCAGCCCCAGGAGGTGGGTGCCAGGCTTCCCCTCTACACCCGGGCTCAGCGGCCCCAGCGTGAAGGAGCAGAGGCTGACTCCAGTCTCTGGCCGCAGTGCAGACCTGAGGACCCTGCTGGGAGACCCTGGGAGAGCCCTGGGAAAGCCCTGGGATACCCCGCCGCCCCCGGGAGGGAGGAGGGCGGGGCAGGGCGAGCTGGGCCCTGGCCGTGGGGTGACGGCACCCGGCACCCGGGCCCGTGCGGACCGGGCAGGATGGAGGCGGGGGTCCGGGGCGGGGCGGTCCGGGGCGGGGCGGGGAGGAGCGGGGGTCCCCAGGGCTGCAGGCCCGGAGCCAGGCTGGAGGCTGGGCCGCCCGGAGGGGGCGGTGACGAGCAGGTGGGACCGCCAGGCCGAGGGCGAGGCCAGGCTGGGGGAGCCTACGGACGCCAAGGAGGACTGCAGAGGCCGAGCCGCGGGCCGCGATCCGGTTCGCTCTCGGCACCGGGCCCGGCACCGCGTCACCGCGAGGATGGGCGAGCCCGGCCTCCTGGAGCTGGTGGAGGAGGAAGGTAGGAGCCAGGAGCCGAGGGCCGGGACAGCAGGCTGAGCCGCCCGAGGGAAAGGGCCCAGCCGGGCGCAGTTCTGGGAGCGGGGCCTCCGCTGCTCCACCTCTGCGGGCGGCCGATCCTCAGGCCCCGCGGCCCAGCGGCTCGAGGTCCTTAAACTCTTGGGGAAACGGCTGCTTAACGCAGCCTTGGTTCTGCGGAGAAATCGTTGTCCGAACCGCTGAGGGCTTTGCACAAACCTGTGCTCTGTGGATCTGTTTTCCTAACAGGTTTTCCTAAAAGTGCATGCATTTTTTGTGCTGCTATCTCAGTCCCCTCAGTGCCAGTATTTTCGTGTCCTGTTTAGTATGAGAGCAAAACCTGAAAGCAGGTTTTTAAAGTAGTGACAGGTCTGAGCATAGATTTACTCTTCGGTCTGCGAAAGGACCAGGGAGGGAGAGCATTACTGTATCCGCCCTTTCCCCCTTTAAAAACAGCTATATTGAGCTATAAAGGTCAATGGTTTTTAGGACATTTGCAGAATTTGGTAGCCAACACGACAAAGTTATTTTAGAACACTTTCATCAACCCAGACAGAAACCTCCTAGCCCGCTTTCTCCCACCCCCACCCTGACTTCTGGGAGCCACTAATCAGCCTACTCACTGTGGCCGGAGATTTGCCACCCGGGCACTTCACAGCAAGGAGGACCACACAATAAGAGATGCACTGTAGTGGGCTTCTCTCTCCCTGTGTCTGCACCAGCTCATTGTTCCTCGTAAGTCAAAGTAACATCCCACTGTAGAGCTATGCCTACCTATCATCAAGGAGACTTTTGAGTTATTTACATTTTTTGCCACCATGAATAATCATCTACAAGTTCTTGTAGGAATATGTTTCCATTTGCCTTGGGAATATACCAAGTGGAGACTTGCTGGATCACGTGGTAGCTCTATAGCGCTCATTTTGAGACACCATCACACGGATTGCCAAGTGTCTGCAATATTTTCCATTTCCGCCAGTAGAAAAGTTCCAGTTTCTCCACATCCTCACTAACATTCATTATTGTCTGTTTTTATTACAGCTATTCTAGTGGTTATTTATTTATTGTTTGATACCAGGAATTGAACTCAGGACCTTGCCCTTGTCAGACAGGCACTGTGCCCCTGAGCTAAATCCCCGGCCCCTATCCTAGTGGTTATCAAGACCTATCTCAGTGTGATTTGAATTCCTTTTTCTTGATGACCAATGTGGCAAATATTTTATATACTTATTTGCCATTTATATATATGTTGAGAAATGTCTATTCAAATCCTTTGCCCATTTAAAAAGTTGAGTTGTACCGTCATTATGGATTTGTAAGATTTCTTTATATATTCTTGGTACAAGTGCTCTTATTAGATATATGAGTTACAAGTATTTTCTTCCATTCTGTTGGTTATCTTCTTTAGTGGTTTTGTTCTACGTGGGGACATGTGAAGCTCACCTCTCTGCTTTTTAAATAAAAATAATTTGAAGATGGTAGAAAAGGAAGCTATTGAAAACTTTAAGCTATGATAAATGACTCTGATAAACAATGAAATAAGTGCATTTGCTAAGGAAAACAATTATTGCTTAGCAGTGCAAAGAAAAAAACCAAATAACTTTCAGATGTATAAAACCGGAAGTCTCTTTCAATATTTACTTGATAGTTTTGTCCTTTGCTGAGAATTATTTCATGTTATACTTCTAGTAATCTGAAGGTCGAAATAGATATTTCTCCATTTAAGGCATTCAAGAATTCCTTATAGTTGGTTTTTCTGAGATAAAACTATGTGTGCTTTAAAAGTTATTCTTCACTGAAGGGAGAGTAGAGGGAAAATGTTCTCTGTATGATGAAGAAAAATATTTCAGCATGGCGTTAGAGTGATTAACCACTGTCCTCTTCCAGTTGTTTGAAATGTGATGTAATTGAGCCTCAAGATGATTTTACCTACCAGAATCTATACTTAAAAAATTCATATCACTTAAATTTGAGGTCATATGTAGCATAAACCCATCCCAGATAGTTTTAGAGCTTTTCCCCAAAGCATTTCAGTTTTCCTTTTCTTGGCAAAGGGTTTTGCAGGTTATTGATTCTTCTCCTCGTGATCAAAGCTGAGCTTCTGATTTGGATGGAGATGGAAGAACAAGTGTGCTTAGTGGAGTCTGGTTACCATCTTCTGCCCAAATTTCTGTGTCCACATCTGTTCCTAGATTCGGAACTCCGGAAACAGAAACAAGGGTCAAAGAGCAGGGCAGGTCAGGTCACTCAGAGGATGCTAACTTTTCTAGATGTGTGATCGAAATGTCAGTTATATTACTGGGTTGTTTTCCTTCTCATTGTCTACACCTCCGTTATAGAGTTTTGTGAAAGTTCATTAAAATGAAGACACGTTTCTTAATACCAACAATCCAGTGGACTTTTGGAAGCCCACTTTCAGATATGGTTCCCCCCAAACTTAATTGACACAATTATAAAGACAGCCAAAGAAGGCTAAAAATGTCGAGGTTCCAAAAATCTTTGTAAATAGGGAGGAATGGAGGGGTTGAAGGGAGGGCTGGGCAAGGGTGAAAAATAAGAACCAAGAGAGACTATGTAAAGGTGCAAATTTCCAATGATGAATGTCATTATATTGTATACCTAAAATGTACCAATGATTAGAATGAATAATCGATAATGCAAAATAGGAAGAAAAGGTCCAAAGGGGTAGAGGTAGTGGGAGGGGCAGGGGAAAGGAAAGAAGGGAAAGAAAAAATGCTGAGAAATGGAAAAAATGGAAATAAAGTCTTTGTAAATAGGGAAGGGTGGAGGGGGTGAAGGGAGTGCAGAGAATGGGGAAAAAATAAGAACCAAGGTGCATTATGTAAAGGTACAATTCCCAATGAGAAATGTAATTGTGTTGTATACCTACAATGTACCAATAAAAGAATTTAACAACAGCAAAAAGTCTAGGTTCCATAATACCTGATTTTAGGAGCTACTTTCATTTTTGCACATTGAAATGTATATAGGTTTCTTACAGTAAATTTGTCATACAGGTAAGACTCAATCTTCTGTTTACATGTTTCCTAAATCACCTTTGAAGATTAAACATGAAAGAGCCGGCGTATTGATTTACATAAGGCTTATTTCTAGAGAGATAATTAACACCTTGCATTTTAGAAATAATAGTTAATGAGGTGTCCCTAGAATTTTTCACATTTCACCTGAGTCTGTTCAATCACAGTAGAACATGTAAGACATCAGTGATCTCTAGCTGGATATTTCCCTATTATGTACTAATCCTTAACATGCAATTCTAAAGGCAAAGTGTAGTAGACACTTGAATTGTTCTGTAAGTGAGCACTCCTAGTAACATGTCAGTGTTGGAATCGAAGTCTTTCTTGGTTGACACTGTAAGGAAATTCTGACTTGCAGTATTCATTCTTTAGTTACGTTAAGAAAAATCAGGACTGAAAAAGACAGTGTAGGAAGTTAGCATTGGAAAAGGCAGTTTAAAAGTTGAATGGAAAGTTGCAGACATGTTTATAACCAGATCATGTGCCATATTGAATGAAGCCACCTGCCTTTCCATAACGTAAGCATTTGTAAAGGCCTTCATGAGCACTTTGGCAACAGGACACCTTTAGTGAGAAATGTTTAGTGATTTAATGGTTGTGAGGACATTACAGAATATACTTACACAGAGCTGTGTGGTATAGCCCACTACACACCTACGCTGTATTATAATCTTTTGGGAAAGGCGTATTGTATGTGTTCTGTTGTTGACAGAAATGTTGGTCTGTGACCACCTGACCATATTTTATTTTATGCTGCTCGTATGAGTGTAAACTGAGAAGACCATTGGGTAGATGCAAGGGCTATTTCTGGGTTTGGGGTTTGCTGAACAGTATATTCTTAGCAATGTGCTTTCAGTGAAAACTCACAGCTCAGGCTATGGGCTGACTTTACTTTTTAACGTGCATTTTCTGATTCTCCCTGGCAATTAGTGCCAAACCTTTACTAGCTCTGGTTTCTAGCCTGCAAGGAAAATACAGTTATTTGCATTCCTCTTAGAGAAAGCTGGAGAAGTACCAAGAAGCTGACGTGGAGTTGGTGGCTTCAGATCCTGCCTCTTCAGATAAGCCTGTTTCGAGAGTGGTTTGGTGATTATGCGTAGTTAGCACATCCTTCTTTTCTGTGAGTGTGAATCTGTATCTAAGACTATTCCATGAGTGTCCATGTGCCTTATGGCTCAGAGAGAGAGAGAGAGAGAGAGAGAGAGAGAGAGAGAGAGAGAGAGAGAGAGAGAGCTGGCAAGAAGTATGTGTAAGAGGCAGCAGAGCTTGTGAGGAAAGCTGACTCTATGGGGTCCACTCTGCTTTTCACCAAATGACAAAACTTAGAAAACCTGCCTTTGCCAGTGCTCAGCAAAGCCTGAAAGGAGAATGTCTAAATTAACATAATGTGGACTGCAAGCAAGCATTAGCAAGAGAAGAGAACAATTGCTCATTCTAGAAAAAGTGGAGGCTTTAAAGGGGATAGTGTGAGAGGGGAAATACAGTGGTCAGGATGGGAGGTCGTCTGGAGGTTTTGTGTTTCCCCTCAAATGACGTCCAGTTCACATAACATTTGAAACTATTTTTTCACCTATTTGTTTTATGTTAAATGGAACAAAAATAATTGGAGAAGGGAAGGGATCGTGCTTGCAGGTTTTCAAATTTCTCTTCATAAAAATAGAATTATAAAATGCCCTATAAACCTAGCCTCACGCCTGTACTTACTTGACGGTCCTGTGATTGGAAATACATTTTGTTTGATGCACTGTTCTTGGAGTAATAGTGACACTCTTTGTCCTCAAGGAAATAGAAATAAATTGAGCATAAATAAATTCATGCTCAAGGACCATACCTTGAGAAGCAAAATATGCATTCTTTAGACTCCTATTCTTTATTGATTCATTATAATGTGTATTGGTTTATTTTGTGTTGTTCAACCAAAATACCTAAGCCTAGTTGTTTTACAAAAAAAGAGATTAATTTAACTTACAATTTTAGAGGCTGAAAGACCACAGATCATGTTGACCCATCAGTTCTTTCTGATGTGGCACTGGTGCATTGGAGAGGGAGATATCAGGGACCAGAGTGACTCGGGGCAGAGCTTGCTCTTGTTATAACTACTTGGTCTTGAGGGAACTCACCAGGGTCCCTCCAGAACCACTTTAGTCTCTTCCAAGAGTGATTCCCAGTGGCCAAATTACCTCCGACCAGCCTTACCTCTTAAAAATTACCCTGCTATCTCTCAGCACTGCCGCACTGGGTCCAGGATTCCAGCACAGCAAGAATTAGGGGACAGGGTCTAACTATGCCCCAAACACAGCACAGGCTATGTTAGGTCGACATTCATTTCACACATGAAGCCAGTGTCTGGACATTGTGGAGGTTTTTTTGGTTTTGATACTGGGGATTGAACTCTGGTCCTTGCGCTTGCACAGCAGGTGGCAAAACCACTGAGCTAAATCCCCGGCAAGGACATTGTGGAGTTTTGAGATAACATCCATGGAAGAACTGCTTTCATGATGGTACTGTATAATATATATTTTGGGGGATATATTAATTTATATTTCTGTCTTTTACACCAGAAAGACTGCATTCAGAAAAGTTGTGGTACACCTGCAGTGGCTTAGTTTCCATACTTTGCTTAAAATAACTATTGACAGTTTAAGAGCAGATCTTGCAGTGGAATGTTCTGAGTCCAAAATGAATTATTTCACCTGTATTCTGATACTGTGAAAATTAGCCCAGAGAATTTAGAACAGTTTTAAATATTAATGAGGAACAGAGCATATCCTAATATTAATATCAACAGAACAACAGTTTGACCTGCTTTGTGGAAAGTATAGGTGTATGTCATCCAGTTCTGGCACAGACATGGTGATAGACATTCTGTCAGTCATGTAGGAGTTGAGAGCTTTGAATTCATATTATGCTCTTGCAAGGAAGGATAGGGAATGTTTTGTTTTCTTTCCTGCAGCACATTGCTGTGGCATGTATAGTATTGGCTCCATTTGTTGCAAATGCATTCCAAGAGTCCCAGTGAATTCCTGAAACCGTGAATTGTACCAAATCCTATATATGTAATGTTTGTTTCTCACATCATACCTATGAAGTCATTTAATTCATGAACTACATACAGTAAGAGATTGACATCAAGAACTAATAAAATAGAAAAACCATAAGAATATATTTAATAAAAGTAAGTGTATGTGGTCCATCTATCTTATGCTCATTCTTCTTGTGATTATTCCGAATCATTAGTGGGTTGTGTAATTTGTTGTAAGTTTCAATTAATTTATTTTTTTCCTTAAATTCTTTTATTGGTACATTTTAGGTATACATTTACATTTATCATTGGCTACTTGTACCTGTACATGATGTATCTTGGTTCTTAATTTTTCCCCATTCCCTGTGCTCCCTTACCTATTTACGAAGATGTTGTTTCCATTTTTTCCTTTTCTTATAATTTTTCCTTTCTCTTCTTTCCTTTTCCCTTCCCTTCCCACTTCCCCTACCCCTTTGGACCTTTTCTTCCTATTTGAAATTATCAATTATTCATTTTAATCATTTTAATCCTTCTTTATACTTTCAGTTTCTCACACCAGAGAAACTATTCAGTATTTATACATGTATGTACTATTTATTTCACTTAAGAGTATGGCCTCAATATGCATCCATTTAGCTATAAATGTCTCTAGTCTGTCATTCTTTATGGCTGAGTAGTAGTCAGTTTTATTTTAAAAAACTGCATCTTCTTTATCCAGTTTCCAATTGATGGGCACTTGGGCTGTTTCCAAACTTAAGATATTACGAACTGTGCCACTATAAACATGGGTGTGCATGTATCACTGTGGTATGATTCTTTTACTTCTTTTGGGAAGATACCCAGCAGAGGAATAGATGGGTCAAATGGAACCTCTAGCCCTAGTTCTCTGAGGTATCTCCATACTGATTTCCACAGTGGTTGTACCGGTCTGCACAGCCAACAAAAATGGAGAAGGGTTCCTTTCTCCCCACAGCCCCACCAACATTTGTTATTGGTTGATTTATTGATAGCAGCCATTCTTTCTGGGGTGAGGTGGAATTTCAGTGTTGTTTTCATCTGCATCTCTCCAGTGACCAGTGATGTTGAACATTTTTTCATAGTTTTATTCACTGCTTTTACTTCTTTGTCTGAAAAATGTCTGTTCATTTCAGATGTCCTTTTTTGAACTGGGTCCTTGATTTGGGGGGGTTTGATTTTTTAATGTTCTTTATATATTCTAGATAGTAGACATTTGTCTGAGGAACAGCTGGTAAAAATTTTTCCCACATTGTAGGTTGTCTCTTAGCTCTGTTGGTGGTTTCTCTTACAGTGCGGAAGCTTTTTAATAAGGTGAGATCCCAGTTGTTGATTCTTTGTGCTAGTTCCCATGCTACTGAGATTTTGTTCATAAAGTCTTTTTCTATTGCCAATGTCTTCAAGAGTTCTACCTAACTTATCTTCCAGCAAGTTTAGTGTTTCTGTTTTAATATTTAGATCTTTAATCCACTTCAATCTCAGTTTAGAGCATTGTGATAGATATGGGTCTAGTTTTAATCTTTGGCAAGTTGAAATCCAGTTTTCCAACACCAATTATTAAATAGATTATCTTTCCTCCAGTGAGGGTACTTGGCTCCTTTGTCAAAGATGAGGTGGCTGAGTATGTCTGGAGTTGTTTCTGGATCTTCTAATCTATTCCACTGATCCTTGGGTATGTTTCTTTGCCAGAATCATGCTGTTTATATCATAGTAGATTTGTAGTTTTAGTTTCAAGTTGGGGATTGTGATATCCCCTGCCATGTCTCTGTTGACTAGACTTGATTTTGGTATTCTAGGTCTCTTCTTGTTCCAAATGAATTTTTGAATTGTTTTCTCTAGTTCTATGAAATATATTGTTGGAATTTCAATTGGCATTAAATCTCTATAGCAGTTTTGGAAGTATGGCAATTTTCACTATATTGGTTCTTCCTACCCAGGAACAATGGATGTCTTTCCATTTTCTTACATCCTTTTGAATCTCTTTTTTTCAGAGTGCTATAGTTTTCAGTGTAGAGGTCTTTTGCTTCCTTTGTTTGATTGATTCCTAGATGTTTTATTTTTTTGGATGCTATTGTGAAAGGAGTTATTTCCCTAATTTCTCTCTCAGTGAGTCTGTTATTTGTGTACAAGAAGGCTATTTTTTTTTGAGTGTTGACCTTGTATCTAGCTACTATACTGAATCTGTCAATTAAGTCTAGAAGTCTTTTGACCTAGGTTTTTGAGTCTTCTATGTAAAGTATCATATCATCAGCAAATGATAACAGTTTAACTTCTTCCTTTTCTACCTTTATTCCTTTTATTTCTTTCTCTTTTCTAAATGCTGTGGCTAATGTTTCCAGAACTATATTGAACAGGAGTTCTGATAGTGGGCATCCTTGTCTTGTTCCTGATTTTAGTGTGAAAGTTTTCAGTTTTTGACCATTTAGTATCATGTTGGCTATTGGTTTTTCATAGATAGCCTTAATCAGGTTGAGATAAAGACCTTCTATTCCAATTTTCTGTAGGGTTTTTTTATCATGAATAGGTGTTGGATTTTGTTGAATGGTTTTTCTGCATCAATCAAGTTGATCATATGGTTTTTGTCCTTGGCTCTGTTAATATAGTGTATTACATTTATTGATTTACGAATGTTGAACCATCCTTGCATCCCTGGGATAAATCTGACTCGGTCAGGGTATATGATATTGTTGTTGATCCTGTGAATTCTCTTTGCCAGTATCTCATTGAGGATTTTTGCACCTGTGTTTATTAGGGTGATTGGCCTGTAGTTCTCTTTCTGGGTTGGGTCTTTCCCTGGTTTTGGAATCAAAGTAACACTTGCTTTGAGGAATGAATTTGGAGGTATTGCTTCCCTTTCAATTTCATTGATGAGTTTAAAGAGTAATGGTGATAGTTCTTCCTTAAATGTCTTGTACAATTCAGCAGTGAAGCCATCAGGACCTGGGCTTTTCTTTGTTGGTAAATTTTTAATTATGTTTTCAATTTCACTCATTGTAATTGGGGTGTTTAGAATTTTTATGTCTTCTTCATTTGACTTTGGCAATTCGTATGTGTCTAGGAATCTGTCCATTTCTTCTGTGTTTTCCATTTTACTAGAGTACAGGTTCTCAAAGTAGGTATTGATTATCCTCTGGGTTTCTGCTGGATCTGTTGTGACTTCACCTTTTTCATTATTAATTGCATGGATTTAAGCCTTTTCTTTCCTCTTTTTGATAAGGTTGGCTAGAGGTTTATTGATTTTATTTATTCTTTCAAAAAACCAACTCTTTGATTCATTGATTTTTTTTGTATCATTCTCTTAGTCTCCATTGCATTAATTTCTGCTCTGATCTTTATAATTTCCTCTCTTATACAAGCTTTGGGTTTGTCATGCTCTTCTTTTCCTAGGAGGTTGAGGGTCAACATTAAGTTGTTTATTTGAGCTCTCTCTGAGTTCTTAATATGGGCATTCACTGCTATGAATTTCCCAAGTAGAACTGCTTTCATTGTGTCCCATAGATTCCTGTATGTTGTACTGGCATTGTCATTTACTTGTAGATATTGTCTAATTTCTTCTTCAATTTTCTCTGTGACCCCTTGTTTGTTCAGGAGGTTGTTATTCAATTTCCATGTGTTTGTGGGAGTTTTGCGATTTCCTATGTGATTGATCTCCAATTTTATTGCACTATGGTTTGATAATGTACAGGAGGTAACTTCACTTCTTTTACATTTACTTAAACATGTCCCATGAGCAACCATGTGTTCTATTTTGGGGAATTACCCATGTGCAGCTGAAAAGGATGTGTATTCTGATTTTGTGGGGTGGAACACTCTGCACACATCTATAAGTCCATTTTTTTCAATAGCTTGGTTCAGTTCTAGAATTTTGTTGTTGATTTTTTGTGTAGATGATCTGTCTATTTGTGTTAGTAGGGTATTGAGTTCCCCCACTACAATTGTATTAGTGCTTATTTGGTTTTTCATGTCCTTTAATATTTGTTTTGTATAGTTGGGGCATTCATATTTGTTGCATATATATTTATGATTGTCATTCCTTCCTCTTGGATTGTTCCCTTTACAAGGACATAGTGACCATCTTTGTCTCTTTTACTCAGTTTTGGTTTGAAATCTATTTTGTCTGCAAATAAGATTGCTATCCCTGCTTTTTTTCTAGGTTCATGTCACATGGAGAACTGTTTTCCATCCTTTTACTTTCAGTCTATGAATTTCTTTTTGAGTTAGGTGTGTTTCTTGTGTACAGCATATTGTTGAGTTTTGCTTGTTAATCCATTCTGACAGTATTTCTTTTTTTTTTTTTTGACAGTCTTTCGATTGGTGAATTGAGGTCATTAACATTGAGAGTTATAATTAATAGATGTTGATTCATCCTTGTCATGATGTTGTACTATTGTTGACTCTTTTATTTTTTATTTTTTCCCCCTTTCCCTTTAGTTTCTTGTCTTGCCTGGTGGCTTCCCTCTCTTGGGCCTCATGGAGTTGTGATCTTCCTTGTCTTTTTCTAGGATATTGTTTAGAATTGTGTGGAGTGCTGGTTTGGTGTTCATGAAATTTCTCAGCTGTTCTTTGTTGTGGAAGTATCCAATTTCCCCATAGATTTGGAAAGATAATTTTGCAGGATACAACAGTGTACGTTGGAAGTTATTTTCTTTTAGGGCTTGAAATACTTCACTCCAGGGTCTCCTTGATTTGAGGGTTTGTGTTGAGAAATCTGCTGTGATTCTGACGGGCTTTCCTTTGTAGGTGGTTTGTTTCTTTTCTCTAGCTGCTTGTAGGATTTTGTTCTTCTGTTGGGTTTCTGGGATCTTGACTATTATATGTCTAGGTGTAGATTTTTTTTTGATCTTGGCTAGTTGAAGTTCTATGTGCCTCACTTATCTGTATGTCCAATTCTCTACCTCTGTCTGGGAAGTTTTCTACTATTACTTCTGTGAACAGTTTTTTAATGTCAATTGTACTTTCTCCTGTTTTTTCGTGGACTCCTATCAGTCTTATGTTATTCTTCTTTGCATCATCTAGCAGTTGCTGGATTGATTTCTCATTGTACCTTACTATTTTGAAGAAATCTCTGTTTTCATGGTCACTAACAGCAATCCTGACTTCTATATCTGATATTCTATCTTCACATTCCCTCAATCTGCTGTGAATACTTTCAATGGAGTTTTTTATCTCCTGGATATCTGTTTGAATTTGTTTCATGGATTCCATTTCTTTCCTATTATGGGTGATCATGGTTTGCATTTCTTTCTTATGCTGGGCATTCATGGCTTTCAGCATGGTTCTTAGCTCATCTATTTTTTTTTTTCTGTTTCTGTTCTAGAGCCTCTAATTATGCTTTTCACTCTGCTCACAATCTCTGTAGTTATCTGGGAAATTATTTCTGTTTTGAATTTTTCTAGGGCCTCATTCATCTCTTTTGTTACTTCCTGTGCTATCAGTTCAGGGTGTTCAGGTGGTTGCTTATGAGAATTTTCCACCTCATTTCCCCCAGAATTTGCCTTTGGTGGGGTGGAAGTCTGGGTTTGTGCCTTGCTTAAATGTCTTCTCATTTTTTGTTTTTGGTACTCTCTTTGGTTTAATTCCTGTTTTGATATTTTGAAATTGCTTATTTTAAGTATCTTTGTTGTTTGTATTTATGGAATGATTGCTTCTCAGAGGTGTCTTCCAGATATAGCTGTTCTTTAGGTTTTGAGTCTCTAATGACTCTGGGTTATCTGATTTTCTTTTTACCAGGAAGGACAGCTGATTAGATCAATCACAACACCTTAGCCCAAGTGATACAATCAGCAACACTATAGCATCAAGCACTGCTTAGAAAATGACAATTGGTAGTAGTTATTAGTCTATCACCTTTAACTGTGTGAATTAAATCAAAATTGAGGACCAACCCAACATAAGTTTAAAGTGAATAAACTCTTCAATATAGCAACATTACCCTTCAGGATGGGGAGTTGGAAGGAGTTGGGGAGGGAGGGATACATAGGTAGAAAATAGGGAACATTTAGCATTGAGGCCAGAGGATACAGGAAGATCACGTGAACTCTAAGAAATTGCTAAAAGACAAAAGAAAAGCCTGAATGAAAGAACAAGAATGAAAACAGAACAATCTAACAGCAATAGGAAGGCTAGAAACTGTATTTACTTTCCTTTAAAGCTAAAGACAATCAAGAGAAGAAAAGAAAAATAAAGAATAAATCCAAGTTAGGGCCAGAACAGGAACAAAAAGTGAGGTGAAGAAAAATGTGGGCCTGGGAGAGAATGAGAGAGATAGAGAGAGAGAAGGAAAAGAGAAAAGAAGAAGAAAACAGAGAGATGAAAAAAGAAAAATTTGAAAAGAGTAGAAAAATAAAAATTTGATAAGAGTAGAAAAAAATAAAAATTAAAAATTAGAGAAAAAAATAATTTTGAAAATAAAAAATAAACATGAAGGGCCTCCTTCAGGTATGTCTCTGCTGTCGCAATAGATAACGTGGGCAGCAGTGTGCTGTTATAAGTCAATGAGTCTCAGCAAGCCGGTAGCAGACCTGTGAGGTTCAGGCAGATTTCTGGCTGCTAGTCTCAAGTTGAGCTCTCTGTCCTCCTGCAGGGTTGAACTCTGCAAAGTTCTACTGCAGGTTCCAGCTGCTTTTCTCCTGAAGATAGTCCAGGTTCCAGTGGGAGGTGATGATCCTTCCAACTTACCAAGTACAGTGGTCTAGTGTGCCTTTATTGTAGGTTCTCTTTACTTTTGCAGTGGGCTTCAGTTTTCATCAAGGAGCCTGAGAGAGGCCCTCTTTCTGTTTTTCACTTCTGCTCTATCTTCTGGAGCTCAGGACAATGTCCTTTATGACCCCCTGTGCCTCTGTAGTGTGGAACCAGGTAGAGGCACAGCCAGGAGGCCAGCAGCAGGGGTTGGGGGGAGCTGCAGGAGGCCATGCAGCTTAGCTGGTCACTGGGTGCTTGGCTTGGAAGGGAGGGAGCCCCCTCAATTAATTTCATTTAATTGGTTTAATTTTTTTAAGTGAATTGCATTTCTTGGATTTTAAAAAAACTATGCAATGGAATATTTATATTTCCTATATTTTTTGAAGATATAGTGGCTTTTCACAAAATTATAGTTCCGTGGATGGCCTTTAAGTGGTAGCAACATTTTATTTCATTCCTACTGTGGTATTTTCCGTCCTCTAACAAATTTTATGCAGAACGTTTTCTTAACTGGAGAAATATTTCTGAGTGTTTTTCCACATTGGAGTCCCTAGAGAATAAAAAGCAGAATTGTCTGTGTAACACATTTTAGTGTCAGAAACTTAATCGAACGCATATTTCAATCCAAAGGACTGGGCACATCATAACTACTCTAAAGATACCTGTGTGAGGAGAGAAACCAGGCCTCTTCAGAAACGGTCCTGCTCTGGGAATGTTTTCCTTCCACCTGCTCTGGTTCACTTCCTGGAGATGAGTGAATGAAGGTTCAGTCTCTCGGTTGAGTGCTGGGACCCAGCCATGAGCATGGCTGTTGAATGTTTCCTCTCAGTGCTTTTGCTCTGAGTTCATAGCTGTATTGATCAGAGTCAAATTTCTTGCCTCATGGGTGAGATTATTTTGTACCTATCAGTATTTGTGCTTTCCCCCTAGTGTATAAACAGTCCTCAGTGAGGTGCTTTTTGGAGGCTAGTTGGAACAATTTTGCTCCAGGAAGGTCTTGCATGCTTTCTTCCACTGTTTTTTTGTTCTCTAAATTTTGCTTATTTATCAATTTTTCATTTGCTCCTAACACAGATTTGCAAACATAGTCGGACAGGTTGGCAAATATAACACGATTTTCTTTTTCTAATTTTGTCTAGTGAGAAGCAACAGTCAAGACACTGGCTACACCTTCCAAATGAGTGAGGTAAGTTAAATATGTGTGTGTGAGCTTTCCTGTAAGTAAGGAGCGAGAACCAAGGCCAGGTTAGCAATGCACATCAGAGGGACAGTTAAATCTTTGCTTATTTGCTCATAATATACTGCATCCATTTTGTCTTCTCATCTATTCATTTTCAGTAAGAAAGCAAATTTCATGTTGTATGCACATTTAATATTATATACTTCTTGATGTTAGAATAAACATGTTTGAATTTCTTTTAAGGTTTCTGGTTAATTAAACTCAAATATGCCAGGGTTTGATATGCAAGATAGCAGTATTCAACCCATCACTTCGCAAGACATAATTGAGGTTAAGATGTGACAGAATTTGTAATACGTTACTAGTCTATGTTGTGTTTTTATCAGTAACTATGCCAGGGTTCAAGTGAGCAGGATAAATGAAGTAAGTACCTTATACAAGACAGCATGTAATAAAATGTAATGTGGTCAGCCTCTGTATCTGCGAGTTCTTCCTTGGTGGATTCTGTCAAGCACAGATGAAAAGCGTTGGGAAGACTACATCTTCATTGAACATCTCTACTACACTTTTTTCTTTGTTGTTTTTCCTAAATAATGCGGTATTAAAACTACTTATACAGCATTCATGTTATGTTGGGTATCATAATTAATCTAGGAGAAACCTACAAGCTTACAGAAGGTAATGTGCAAGTTATAGGAAATACTGTGCCATTTCATGGGGGAGGCTTGGGTGTTCTCAATTTTGGCCTCTACTTGGAGCTCAACTTGTGTATGTACAGACTTGTTTTAACCAAAGGTATTTTTTTATTTATATAAGATTTAAAAATACAATTCGCCAGATGCTGAGACTCCACCCTGCTCACTTCTCCTGGGTACTGTGATGAGATTTAAGTAAAAGAGACAATTTCAAGACATAATACCCCCCAAATCCATGTTTCTGTAAAAAATAACTCCACTTCCCAGAATCAGAGGGATCTCAAGGAGAATGCAGAAAGGTAGTCAGTAGCTGCCAATGCTGAGATGACAGCAAAAAGAGATGTTATACATTATCGAAATACGGAAACTGTAGAATGGAAAAGTATAGAAACTGAAAAATCTCAGTGGAAGAATTTAAGAGACAAAAGAAGGAAGCCTTGAATTTGAAGATAGAAGAATGGCATGGACAGCAGAGAAAAATGGACTGGGAAGGAAAAAAGTACAGAGCAGGAGAGATATGTGTTAGATACCAAAAGATCTAACATTTATGTCCCGGGAGGCCGACGAGAGGCAAAAGAGAAAGAGCTGCCAAGGGAGAGAAATCATAGCTGGAAATATCAGCTTGCAAAAGTCACACAGACCTCAAAGACTCAAAGAGCAGAAGCAACCACCGTGGGATAAACCCAAGGAATTTCACATGCCTCAAACTAAACTTTAGTTGTTCTTCTTTTCCTTCTTAACACGTTCATTCGTACATGTTTACAGCACAGTGGCTACGCTTCTCGTGGGGAGTCGGTACATGCCCAGAACACATTCTCATCTCTTTCACCCCTTTCCCTTTCCTCCCCTTCCCCTTCCCTCTATCTCTTGGTCCTCTTCTTTTTTGTAAAAAAGAAAAAAGAAAAAGAAAAAGAAATCCATCTCCCTGCTTCCTATTGTCTTTTATTTTATTCTTTGCTTTATTTATATTTTGCATTTCTCGTATAACGGAAGCCACATGACATTTAACTTAACATTATGATCTCAGAATGGATCAGTTTTCCTACAAAAGCCTCGAGTTTACCATTCTTTATGGCAGAGTTGTACTCCGCTGTGTACAAATACCACATTTTCTTTATCCGTCCATCTGTTGATGCGTATATAAGGCACTTCCAAGATGTAGCTTTTATGAATGGTGCTGCTAGAAACATGAGCATGCGTGTATAACTGTACACGAAGTCTTTAGCTTTTTCAGGAAGATACCTAGAAGGGGTGTAGTTCTGAAAAGCAGACTAGGAAAAATCTCGAAAATGATGAAAGAAACCACAGCTTAATATTATGAGAAAACTAAGCAAAATAACAGTAGATTTTTTTTCTATCAGAAATCATGAAGGCTGAAGAATTGATAAACAGTTTTTCAAGTGCAACCCAATTAAAATCTAGAACAGCATAGGCTAGCACTTTACTATTTAATATTGTTCAGTACATTCTAATCAGTGCAGTGAACACAATAGAAAGCTTTGCTTTTGCCAAGACACAAAAAATATTATGTTACAATTGTAGACAGTTACCTTTCTAAACAAAACTTATGTAGGAAATCTGGTTTTTAGAAATATTTCACATTCTGTAATGTATTTAACACCCCAATTCAATAATTTGGAATGCTACTGTCATCATATACTATTTCTAATATATAAGCGTACATATGCATTGGGGGGGTGTGGACCGGGGATCGAACTCGGGTCCTTCCGCTTGCGCAGCAGGCTGTGAAACCACTGAGCCCAATCCCCAGCCCTATAGGCATTTTTATACGCGCACGTAACGTTATCTCCATCCTATCCAGAACTCCGCCCCATTACCCTCCCTTTTTTCTTTCTTCTACCCTTTTCCCTGTCCCTTCCATAGTAGTCTACCTTCAACATGTTCTGAAATGCAGGAAAACTTGGGAAAATTTTTTACTAGCACATCTACCCTAAAAGATTAACTAAGGAAAGTCTCTGAAAAAGTTCTTTTTGAGAAAGAAAAAGATGAAAAATAACACGGGGTAAAAAGAAAGCACAAGAAAAAGAGTAAAAATATGGTCAATTACTTGATTTCCTTTTTCCAATTGAGGGTTCTGAATTAATACTGGAATCAAAAACAATTTTAACACTGTCTAATGTGATTTAAAATATCTGTAGGGAAATATTTAACAGGGAATAAGTAGAAAATAACAGCACCGGTATTTATGAAACACACACCAAGATATTGTAAGCTACAAAACAAACCTCAAGAAATTTAAGACTTAGCATAAGAAAGAATGCATTCTTTGACCACAGTGGAATCAAGCCAGAAGTAACAGAAATATAACAGGAGCATCTCCAAACATTTGGAAACTAAGCAATATGCTTTCAAATAATGTAAGCATCAATGAAATTATCAAAGGAAAACCAAAAACAAATAAAACTGAACTGAATGAAAGTTAAAATGTAATAGATCGCCGTTTGGGAGGTGGAACCAAAGCATTTTTGAGAGGGAAATTTGTAGCACAAAATATTAATGTTGGTAATAATGAAAAGTCTGAAATGTGGAATAAGCTTCCATCTCAAGGAAGTAGAGCAACAGAAACCCAAAGAAATCAGGAGGAAAATAAACATAAGAATAAGAGTGGAAACCAATGAATTGAGAACCAAACTGTTATTAGAGAAAATCATTGAAACAAAACCTATTATTTAAAAGATCAATTAAATAAAAAAAAATCCTCCAGCTAAAGAGAGAAAGTGGAAAAAGGCTGAGGGAACAGGAAAACATATGCTGTCTATCAGGAGTTAATGAAGATTTGTCAGTATCTGTGAATATGGTGAATTCATCGTATGGTCATTGGAATGAAAGTAGAAATTAATTTTAAAAAGCCAATCTCACTGTGTGAAAGTCATGATAGAGAGAGGTTAACATGCTCAGGATTACAAACCTTGTTAGTTTTACATAACTGAAGAAAAAGTTTATGAAGAGTCTATAAAATGAAACTATAAATTGGTATGTTATTATATCTACTAAGTTTTGGAGCTGAGATTCACAGGTCATCTGATTCTAGAGTTTGCTTTCTCAGTCACTTTATAGTATAATTTCTTTAGGAACACAATGTGTGAATGTATATAAGTATGGTAAATCTCATTCATTGGTAAAATTGATCTGTATTAATAATTATAATAATAATTTTAAAATACAAATATTTTAAACTGACTTTTCCCATGTCAGAATTACTTTACAAAATACTAACAATTAATCAACAGTTAATTTTAAAAAATACTCATCCAAGTATTGCCTTACAGTTACTCACTATTTTAAGAACCTTACGTAAAGTTCAGCTGTGAAGTCGTCCTCTTGCTGGCCTTTGTTTGTTGCTATTTTTATTTGTTTGATTTTTGGTGCTAAGAATTGAATCCAGGGTCTTATGTTTGCTCGGCAACCACTCTACCATGAGTGTAAATCCACATCTTTTCTGGTGGGTTTTAATTCTTCAGTCTCTTTTATCCCTTCCCTCACCCTGAGGATTAAACCCACCCAACAGGGCCGTTACACTTCGCTACACATCCTTAGTCATTTTTATTATTTCTTTTGTCACGGGGGTCTCACTAAGTTACTAAATTGCCATGCTAGACTCAATCATATGATCTTCCTGCCTCAGCATTCCAGAAAGCTGGGATAATATATGTGCCCCACCACCTCCTGCTATCTTCAATTTTTTTATTTTTTATTGATCTGTTCAAGTTTTCTGTTTCTCTCTGATGTACTCTGGTCGTTATGTTTTTTTAAAATTCATTCATTTCCTCTACATTATAATGTTGGCATATAATTGTTTATAATATTCCCCTATGATCATTTTATTTCAAAATATCTTCACTTTCATTTCCGATTTTATTTGAGCCTCTTTCTCAGTATTTGTTGATTTTATTTTTTCAAAGAACCTTACTTTTACTGATTTTTCCCTTTTTTTACTTTCTCTATTTGATTTATTTCTATTCTTTATTATTTCTGTCCAATAACTTCTGGTTTATTTCTTTTTCTAGCTCTTTTAAATGTAATATTAGAGACTACTTATTTGCGATCTTTGTTCTTTCATAAGTAGGCATCTATTGCCTAAACTTTTCTTTTTGAACTGTATTTGCTGCCTCCCAAAAGGTTTGATATGCTTTGTTTCCATTGCTATTTGTTTCAAGATATTTTAATTTCCTTCTGATAAAATTTTTGATCTGATGATTGTTCAACAGCTTGTTTAGTTTCTAGGTGTTTGCAAATCTCCCCATCATCATTACTGATTTATAAATTCATACTGTTGGGGTGAAAAGCAAAACCAGATATGATTTCAGGCTTCATAAATTTGTTAAGACTTATCCTGTGGGCTACCATCCAATCTATTCTGGAGAATTTTCCATCTGCATTAAAGACTCTATATTTTATTATGGCTAGATGGACAGTTCTACGTATATTAGACCTATTTGATATAATGGGAGTTAAAGTATAGTATTTGCTTGTGAATTTTCTGTCTAATCTATCCATTGTTGCGAGAGGTGGAATGACGACCTTCACTAATATTGTATCACTATTTCTTCCTTCATTTCTATTCTACATGCTCTTTATATTGATCTAGCTTACTAAGATTGAATCAGAAAAAACCAAATCTCTTAACAGACAAATAACAAATAGATTGAAGAATAAATTTAAAATCTTCCAAGAAGGAAATGCCCGGGATCAGATAGCTTCATGGCTTAATTCTATCAAATATTCAAAACAGAATTGTTACCAATGTTTCTTAAACACATCCAAAAATTAGAAATAAAGGGAAAATTTCCACATATATTTTATGTAGCTAGCATCACAGAGAACCTAAGGCAAAAAAAGACAGAAAAGCACAGGACAATACTGTATCTCTGATGAATATTAGTTCAAAGATCCTCAAGAAAATATGAGGAAAGCAAATCACGCAACATACAAAATATTGTACTTTATGACCAAGTAGGGTTTATCTAGGGCATGCAAGACTGTTTAGCATGTCTAAATCAAACAATGTGCTATGTCACAATAACAGAATGGAAAACTATATATAAAGCATCTCAATTCATGCAGAAAAAAAGTCTAATGAAATTCAGCATCTATGGTTGCTGTTGTACAGCATGATACTATAATTAATAATCATATATATTTTATTCTGGATATCTACTAAATTAATAGATTATAGCTACTTTTATCACTGAGTGGGCCAGAGAGAGCAATAGGTATCTACATGAGGTGATGGATATGTTAATTTGTTCTATTACAGTAACTGTTTTACTATATGTGTATCTTATAACATCATGTTATATATCTTAAATATATGCAAAACCAAAAGAATTCTGTGCAGAAGTTATGGTACTTGTTTTGTGAATTTCATTGTTGGAATATTGCTACTTATGTTTGCAATAGTCAGGATAAATACTTGGATAGATCCTCCAAATATTACTACATTTTATTCCTAGTATGAGTTTGTGTCACTCACCCATTTACTCATTTCATTCCATTTTGATCATTTCCTTAACTTTTTTAATGGCTGGGGTCAGGGAAGGGAGCAAGCACCTGGGATGTGAAAGTCCTGGGCACTGCTGAGGGGAACATAGAATTGAAAACAGCAAGGATTCTCCTTTTACCTCATCAAGGGCAATGAAAGGTGAGACAATGAAATACTTGTCCAAAGGAGATGAATCCTGGATAATTTTATTTTATATTTATCACACTCAACATGTAATGACAAGATTTAATTGGAAATTACAGCAAGTTATTTTTACTAAAGTTAGAGATTTTAAAGTGACTAGCCAGGTTGCTTTTGGAATATTTATTGTATAGTTTCCTTATACCATTTTATAAGCAAAACAACTGATCTTTCTGTAGAATAATATAAAAATATGAGGAGTTAATACAAAAGGAAAGTATTCTATGTTTATAGTCTTGATGGTGGAAATGTAGTTGCACAATTTATTTTTAGAGTCTGCTATTTCACTAACTCTATTTGATATCTGATATTCTTAGAAGAGTTAAGGGAATTCATGCAAGGTCCACCTAGCCAGAATCATGTGTAAGTGAAGGAGGATTTGAGCATGTATTTATTCATAGACTCCCAGTCTATGAACTCTTTCCACCTGGTTCAGTATCCTTTTAATTTCAACTTTTTGTGTAATAACCTACTCTGAATAAAGTACTATGAAAATCGTTGCATGTTCAAAATCATTTCTTCGTCCTCAAGAAGAAAAAGATATTATTGCTTCTTTGTAGCATGTATGTTTCCATGATGCTCAGAAGCATTTGAAAAATTATGTCCAAGGCAATTTTTACTTCCTTTTTTTTCGAAACCTGATTTTTCCAGCATCATTTAGTCATACTGAGACATTGGTTGTCGGTTAAGAGTTTTCCAAGAACAAGGTAAGTGAGCTCCCAGCCCGGACAGGGATTGCAGGCCAATTCTGCCAGCTGCTGCCTCTCCATAGTGCTCCTCTGTCCCCAGTCACTGCTGACAGGTGAGGAGGTGTGACCACGGCAACATGTTGTGTGGCACACAGGTCACTATAACGCCAGGACTGGAAGAATCCATCACACTAGGGAAGGCTTCGTCATTGCTGTAATTATGAGAGAGTTGTGTGTATTCATGGTCACCTATGGATTTTTCCCTTTCATTATAATTGTGAAAATTCTTAAGCCTCCTTGATGATGCATTTTCCAAGGTCTTCATTTTCATAATTTCAAACCAATATTTAAAGGCACAAAATAACCCATAAGCCTGCTCTTCCTTTTGATCTTGATCAGAATTCAGTATCAATAGAAGACTAGCGCCCATTTTTATTTCTCTGCATTGCAGTAGTTTTTACCCATTTGTTGTGTCACAGATTCTTCTATTGCTTAATAAAGCTAACTCCCAATTTCTTATTCTTTATTAAGTACCCTTGCAGTTTCCATACAGACTCATGTACAGATTCCTACACCTACATGTGCACACAATTTTGCACACATGTTAAGGTGTTTCATAGTCCTTTCGAGTCCCAGGTTTAGTATTTTGGCTTGGAGATCCTCGATGTTTTGTTATGGAAACTTACTTGTTCTACTTACTTTACTTGCACTATTATTAACAGAATTATTTCCTTCCCCTGGTGCTGTTAACAGAGCCTGAGTAGCAGAGAAACCAGCTTTCTCATCAATGAAGAATCAACGGTAAGCAGTGACTAGTACTGTCCTTCCTTGCGTGGACAGACATAGACATCTTTTCGTAGTCTTCACTAAGGATACTGTTTTTCTCAATTCAGTTTTTCCAGGCCCCCACACATAATATTTGAGAATTTCTTACTCTTGAAAAAATAGTTTATTTAGGAAAAAATATATAAGGGAATGACATTTTTTATTCATTAAGTTCACTGGAACATTTTAGGTATACGATACCATGACACTCATCATTGGAAATTTGTACCTCTACATGATAAATCTTGGTCCTTATTTTTTCCCCATTCCCCTGCCCTCCCTTCAACCCCTCCACCCTTCCTATTTACAAAGACTTTGTTTCCATTTTTTCCTTCTTTTCTCATACTTTTTTCTTTTTTTTCCCCTACCCCCCTCCCCCAACTTCCCCTTCCCCTTCCCTTTTGGACCTTTTCTTCCTATTTCACATTATCTCTTATACATTTTGGTTCCCATTTACACTTTCAGTTTCTAACACCAGAGAAACTATTTGGTATTTACACATGTGTGTCCTATTTATTTCACTTAAGAGTGTGTCCTCAGTGTGCATCCACTTAGCTATAAATGTCTCTAGTTTATCATTCATTGTAGAATAACATATTTAGCAGAGTGCTTTGCTTACAGTTTTATAATTCCCAGTTTTAATGACTTGACCAAAGTTATTTTTATGTTGAAAGGGTAGATCCATAATTAAAACTCAAGTTTATGAGGCTGAGTTCGGCATCCTTCCTCCACTGTATCTCACTCGTCTAAGACTAATCGTGAAGTATAATTTATTTGAAAATTAAATTTGATATCAATTAAGAGTTTAGGAAAGAAATCAAAAACTTTTTCAAAGTTTGCTTAGTAAATAAAAGATGGTGATCGAAATAGAGGTGGAAGAATAGAGTTGATGATTTCAACATAGATGGTATTTTGTATTTCACCATCGCGCTAATCTTAGTATTTCGAATTAGGATTGTGGGTTCAATGAATTGAAATAATTACAATTTTGTTGTTTTGTTTATTTTTCTTGTTTGTTTTTAGCTTGTGTAAAACTTTTACATTATTCCAAAGATAAAACCATAGATAGAATAAGGTTTAGTGAAATTTATATAATTTGCTGTCACTCCTTAAGCAAACTAATGGGAAAGTATTTCACCAACATAAAACATTATGAGAACCCTTCCTAACTCCTTAGAAGGGCAGGTGCAAGAGACTTTCTTGGGTGGAAGGTAAATCCATCTCAGGTTGAAATTAGCAGTGTTAGAGATTTTTCTTCTTGTTTGACCTCTCGGTTTTTCTGCAGTCGCCATTTTAAATGGGTTTATTCTTCCCATGTATTACACATATTGCTGCAATCAATGCCCTTCGGAATTAGTCTCAAACTACTTTTGCCAGTATATCTTCCTACAGGAGATTTGTCAGTTAAAGAATTCAGGCACATGTTCCCCTGCCCCTTACTTTCAGATTCCCTTCCATTCTGTACATATAACCAATGTATGAGTGCTAATTCTCCACTGTCGTGTTACTGGAGAAGTCAGGCTTTCTTGTCCCTCCTGCTGGTTAGTGAGAGAAGTAACATCTATTGGGGACTATTGCAGTTGGCTCAGGGTCTTAGTTTAAACTTGCATTTCTCTCAGCATGCACGAGATACTCAACTTTTTTTTACACCAAATGGGACCTTAATATATTTTTATATTACTCAATTTACATATGTTTCCCAATTTCTGTCAGTCACTTAGGTTTTGCTTTTTTCTTTTGAGCTCATTACATATTTATTACTATGTCTTGGCTTGTGATAAAATTTGCAAAGACTTTCTGTGATTACATCCTATTAATTTAAATGTTAAATTCTGAATGATATATGCCTTGTGAGCTGCTTTATGTTCACATTGTCTTTGGTTAAGCAACAAGTAGCTCAAATTGATCAGAAAATTTATTATTTTTATTAGTACATATTAATTACACAGAGGACTGGGTTATATTTTCACATTATGCATATATCATGCTTTGATTGTGTCCATATCTCTGGTTCCCTTTCCCCCTCTCCAATGGTCTCTCTTCTGAACAATAAGATTTTTAAGAAATAAATTTTATTTTAGTATACTTTTGGATTTACAGTTTTAGTATAAGTATAGTACACCAGTTTCCCTGAGCCCCACACCCATTTTCCCATTCCTTAGCCTCTTATCGTAGTATGGTGCATTTGTTACAATTAGTGAATCGATGTTGGTACATCATTGTTAACCAGAGCTTATACTTTGCTGAGATTTTCTTCATTTTACCTGAATGTCCTTCTCCTATTTCAGTATCCTGTAGAGGATTCTGGGTTGCCTTTAGTAGTCACCACTCCCTGGGTTCCCCTTGGATGTGGCAGTTTCATACACTTTTCTTGTTTTGCATAAACTTTGGTGTTTAGAGGAACACTGGTCTGGTATCATGAAAAACGAGCCTCAGTTGTGGCTGTCCTAATGTTTCCCATGATTAGACTTGGATAATGTGTTTTTGGAGGAAGACAGAGGAATTAAAGAGCTATGACGTCATGTTAAGGGTCCCTCCTATCAACGTGATTTGTCACGCCATCATTCAACCTTTCTTATCTGATTTGAAGTAATTTTGTCAGATTTCTCCTCAAGGAAGTTATTGCTTTTTTCTTTTCTTCCTTCTCACATTGTGCTTTTTGGAAGAAAGTCACACTGTGCATCCAGAATTAAGAACTGAGGTTTAAACTCTAACTCCTTAAGAGTAAATAAATTATTTGGAGATCTTAATAAAGATTTCTTTTCCTCTCTCCCTCCTTTCTTCTTCCTCTTTTCCTTTCCTTGCTCCTTTAGCATGAACTCACGACATTTATTTTATACTTTGGGTTATATAATACCAGTAGTATTTTATTCATTTTTGTGGCTCAGAATAGACTTGTGTTCTAGCTTTGGCTAACAGGAGATTTTTGGTTAACTCCTGTGTGCTTTTGACATACCCAATTATTTTGTTTTAATATTGGTGTTGTCTTCCTCCCTGACACTACAAGTTACTCCAGCGTATCTTGTGTATGTCCTGCCTCCTTCCTGGAATGAACTATTTCTCTAGGGAATGAACATTTCCTTTAATGACATAGAGATATTACAAAATGAAATCTGTATCCACCAGAGCCCTTTAAGTCATATAAACAGTAGGATAATTTGAGGAAGGCTGAATAAAGGTGGAGTGCGAGAGAATCCAGGAATGCTAAGTATGGATCTATTGTTATCCATAGGACTGAAAGGCAAAGGGAAAAGAGAAGCTGTTGGAATCAAGAAGAAAGTGAAATGCTTAAAACATTCTAGTGAGGCTTGGTGACTGTGGTCAGGGGGTCAAACTTCCTGAATCCAATTTTAGGAAGGGAGAGAGCCTCCTGCCTCCCTCTATCTGTGGAAATCCAGACATCAGGGGAGGACTTTGACTGTCATACTGGTCACCCTCAAAGACTAGGAAGCCCAGTGTAAAGGAGCATAGAAAGATCTACTCTGGCAAACAGATAATAACCAGTGGAGTATCACTGCACATATTTTATTTTTTGAAAAAAATGGAAACTGGTTGTTTTTTCACATTATTGTGATAGAGCTTCACTGCTAGTGATTCTATGAATGAAGAAGAATTCACATAATTTATCATTTTGTTTGGAGTAGTCAATAGCAGGTTTGATCGGGTAACTTAATAGTTATCTAAATTCCCAGTATAGAAAGGTCTCTGACACCATGAAATAGAGAAACACAGAAAGATGGGAACAAAAGTGGCTAAGAGAACTAGTTTCAGAGTGAATATGTGTGTTTGGAGGAAATAATTTGTTAAATATATAGAGTTTAATGAAAAAGCATCAGAATTGAAGAGACTCAGTCGAAGCATGATGTAATAATGATGGCTGAGCATTAACAGGTATTAAAGGAATGCAGGCCTTGTTAACCTAAGGGATTATATTCTAAATACTTGGCAACTGATGTGGCATAGACCTAAAACAACAAGAATGGAGCTTGAATAAATTGATCAAATGCCATCAGTGTGAATATATGCACAGGATTTACCATTGAAATTCTGTATTTAGATGTTATTAATGGAAGGCATTAGCATCTTAATTTAGTCTTCTAATGATTTCATCCAGTTTCATGGCTTTCTGTACAATTGGCATACAATCAACTCTCAAATTTAACTTTCTAGTGAGTCTTACTAGAAATACTTGTAGCTGTTTTGTTTTGTTTTACTGCTGAGTAGTATCTATTTATGGATATATCAAAATTTGTCCATCTGTTTATGCACTTATAGTTATTTGGGTTGTTTTAAATTTTGGAACCATTATGCATAAATGTGTTAGAAATATTCACATAAGAAATGTTTGCATAATTCATATTTTTATTTCTTTTGCATAATTTCCTAGGAGTAAAATTTCTGGACAATAGGTAAATTATATGTGTAACTTCACATTAAAGTACAAAACTATTTTTGGAAGGGTGGCACTATTTTGCAATCTTACCAGCCATGTATAAAGTTCCAGTTGCTTTCTATTCTCACCAGTAGTTGATAAAGCTTTTTAATTTTCATAATTATAATGGGTATAAAATGACATTCTGTGAGTTTGTTTTTCATTTCTGTGATGAATAATGACTTTGACCATCTTTTCATGTTGAACATTCATCTTTTGCGAATTGTCTGTTCAAATATTTTGTGCATTTTAAAAAATTGGGCTGAATAACTTTGCAAGACTTTTGTTGTATATATTTATTGTGACTATTTTCTCCAAATTTGTGATTTGATTTTTTTCACTTACATAACAATGTTTTTAGAAAGACAGGATGAAAAAGTTTTGAAGTTCAGTTTCTTTTCTCATTTATCTTGTGATTCATCCCTTTTATGTTCTATCTAAAAAATGTATGCATACACCATTTAGGGGCTATTTCCTCATATTTTCTTTAGTCTTATACTTTAAGATTTTATCTTTAGGTCTTCTATTCCTTTTAGGCTAGTTTGTTAACCCAAAACACACAAAGGGCATAAAGTGGCCTTGGATGACCCCTTCATGTAGGACTTAGATTTCCCTTAATTCTACGTTGCATTTAGGGAAAAAAACCCCGAGGAAAAGCAGAAACCTGTAAATCTCATGAACGAAGTCTGGAAACAGAAGGACTGACATGAAACTCTTCAGGCCAGCAGGGAAATATAGTTTAGAATATACTTTATGCAATGACCAACATTCTTCTTGTATCTGTGTTATCTCTTCTGTCTGTAGCAGAAGGCTCATTACTTGGAAGAACAGGAAATTTCCCTCCGACAGTCACCAGTTGGTTAGGTCTATTCAGCCTGTTCCAGGGAAGGAATAATCGAATCAAAACTTTTCATGTCAAGAACTGAGTTCTTTTAATGCAAATTTTACTAGATTACTTCTCTAGTAAATTAGTAATTTACTAGATTGCTTTTCTTTTACTAGATTACTTTACTAGATTATTCCTCACTGAGGCTATAAGATATGCATAATACCAGCCTTTTTGTACTACAGATTGGGTTTTCTTTCAAATATTGATTATCATAGCTATTTTTAGATAATTTCTCTGATATTTTAAATAAGGACTATACAAATAGAAGATTGGAGACAAATTAGCATTAAAAATTGAGTAACTTAAAAAAATGTTGAGTAACTTTTCCTTCTTCCAGTATTTTGGGAAGCCATGTCATACTCCATATCATTTACTAGGAATTTTGCTTTTTTTGATATGTAGAAGCCTATTTGACAGAATATATATTTTTCTTAAGATTTCCATTACTCACATGTCTTGTTCATTATTTTTCCCTCTGTTTTGATGAATACAGTTTCACAATTATTTATTATTTAAAGTAATTTTGTAGGATTTAGAGAAATTTACTTTGAAATCTCTTTTTTATCCTTTATTGTTACTGTCTTTCTATTTTTTTAACTTCTTCCCTCCAGTTTTAAATATCACACACACGCGCATATTCAGAGAGTGAGCATACTGAAGTCTGGCGTGTTTGCATGCTTGTTTGAGGGGACCCTTAATGCTGGGCAGGAAGTGTTAATTCTCTATTGGTTGCTTCACAGCCTGCAAAACGATTCAATTTGTTCCTGAGGCGGCGTCTTATGGTAAAACACTGCTGAATGATGCTGCTTATGCTCTGGATGGCTGCAGTAATAACCTGACCATTTCTCTTCCAATGGAAATATTGATTTAGGGGACTTGGTCAGGGATGCCTAGCTCCCAGGAAATTGATATTTAAAAGCGGTGATTCTCAATGTTTTTTGGATATGGTGAGCCCTCCTCCTAAAATGTGTACACACACACACACACACACACTCACACACACACACACACACACACTCACACACACACACACACACACACACACACAAATACACATAGCATTTACAGTTTTAAGAGTTTGTTAACCCCTGCCAGCAAAATACATTTGTGAATTTCAGAATAACTACATCACTCAAAGAGAAGCTATTTGGATGTTTGCCTTATTATAAATGTGCATTTCTAAGAACGAACCAAATATAATACACACATGTTGAAAAATACAATCTTATGTCACATTGCGATGAAAACAAAAGAATGATGTGTTTTAATTTATGCAGTTATATGTAACCAAACTATCAGATTTTTCTGCCCTAGCTGTCTTTAATCACTTTTTGTCAACAACTGCAAGACTTGTACTTTATGGCTATTTAAAAAGCTACCAATAATTTTTCTCTATATTTTTAGAAAATTACAGTTTATAGTCAAGCCCTTGATTTTCAGGAGAAGGGATGTATACATACCCATTTTGATAATATACTTAGGAAAGTATTGGAGTCACTGTTTTCTTAACTACTTTGTCAACTGTCTAATTTTCAACTACTATGCATGTGGTTTTTATTTATTTTGTATTTTTTCACTGAGATTTAACTTACCTAAACTAACACTTGTAAAAATATTAATCATTTAAAGAAAATTCTGCCATACAAAATATGGCCACCCCAGGCTTTGCACTTCATTTACATTTAGTGTAATTAGGGTTTTCTGCCCCATTGGATTTCATAAATTTTAGTGAATTTCATAAGTTATATTAATGTTATAATGACTTCTGAGAGTGCAAATGATATTTTTTTTGCTTCTCTTTTTCTTTTTGGTTTGTAGTCAAAATGTAGCATGATAGCAGTTTGCGTTTTCACTGGTTCTTTTACCAATAGGAAAGGATGATTATTACACATCCTTTCTTTGGCACACAGAGAACTCAGACATATCATTTGAGTTGCCATATTTTGACTCTTAATCTCTAGATTCCTTAGATGTTTTTTCTTTGTTCATTTCCCACTCATTTATTCCTTTGCATTATGAGCTAGCAATTTCTAAGACACATTAGCTATGAACTAACAGGTATAGTTGTTATGTTTGTAGAATACAAATGAAACGTAAGATTGTTATCTTATTTGTTTATAGTGTCTATTTATAGTTTCTAGTGTCTTTTATAGGAGGCTCACTTAGCCAGGTTTGAGTGAAAAATGGCACAGAATACCATAAAAGAATCTCATGAACTAATAAGAACACCTGTGGTAATAATCACTCTAATTTTCCATTACACTTTAGCTAAAGAAACTAGACAGTTGCCTTATTAACATCCACTGCATCATTTATTTGCATAATCCTAAGTATAATTTTTGGGCTGTTCATAAGTATTAGCATCACATATTACATATAAACTATGAAGAAGAACACATAAGTCAAACTTGAAATCTTTCTGAGTAGCCATATTGAGAGGAAGGAATTAATGCACTGCACAACATGTGAAAGTTGAACTTGTAAATTTGATTATTGTGTCAAGAGAATTCATCCAGATTTAAACAAAGGCTGTGGCTCACCTTGAGCATTTGACTTGGAAGGCAGATTTGCATGAGAATTTACTTGGAGTGAGGCCAGCCAGCTACCAAGCTACCTGCTGTCTTATTTTTAACTGCACCTGGATTCTGTTTTAATCCCTTAAAAGTTGAACTAGAAAATGGGAATTTTGTAAACATCTGTAAACTTTAAACATAAGTTTACTTTCTTACAGTGAGATTCCATTAATTGCTCTATAAGTTATTGTACCCTGAAAGATGGTGAAACTGTTATTTAGAGAACTCAGTGGTGTGCTGTTTGCCTAGGGTGACAAGGCTCTCTGCCTGAATGTGCATTGTGGACCAATGTTTGCATATATTCATTTTGTATTTTGGTGCAATTGCAACATTGTTGTGTGTGCATGCGGTTAATATAATTAACTTCCTCCTGAGTCTTTAATACATTTTATGGAATTTCACTTTTTTAAATAGGCATACTCTTTTGTTGATGAAAACTCTCATTACAGAATCTGTCTTAACTTTTCACCTCAATACTGAAAAACAAAATCAGGAGGTGAACTAATTTTACATAATCTTGATTTTTTTTTGCCATTTGAGACTAAGCAATAATGTAAAATCTTGTCATTTATGTCTCCTGCAGTTCCAAAAGAGCAAACAAAGCAAAGATTCTATCTTCTTCCGAGATGGGATCAGGCAAATTGATTTTGTACTTTCCTATGTTGATGACATAAAGAAAGACTCAGACATAAAGGCGGTAAGTGCTTAACTGAGAGAAAGGGAGATAGTTAGAGATAATAACTGTAGAATCACACCCCATAGATTGGCTTAGATATCTACGTTGAATGCCATTGTAGATGTCAGAGTCATCTAGGGTTTCACTGAAAGCTGAAACTGAAGTGACCACAAAATAGGCAGCCAAGAATGGATGTGGAAAGTTTATTTCACTTCTTAGATATTTGGGAGGCTGTTCTTCATCTTCTTGCAAATGATTGATATGATTTTTACATACTAAATTTAGAGAATTTAAATTTTTATGTACTTATTTTAGATACTAAATATGATCTCTAAAATGTGAGGGATGTTCTAAATATTTACTTTTTGTATGAAATTTTAATTTTAAGAATATGTTTAATCCATCTGACCTGAAATCAGCTTTGTGCGGTAAACTCTTCTTAGTCTTATGGGGTTGTCATTGTTAACACTTGTCACTTTCTGAATTTCTATGCTTTACTCCCTTTTTTTTTTCACTTGTTTGCTGTCTGTCATATCATGAATTAAATTCATGGGGCCAAATACTTTGTCTTCTTCCTCACTATGTATCTAGATACCCAGAGTGGTGACTAGAAAATAACGGATGCTCATTAAGGGTTCCATATGGGAAATAATAATTAATCTATGTGTATAAGCTTATATATGTGTATGTATACACACACAAATACTTAATTAAGGTACTTACAAAGTCAGTGTCATACAAATAAATAGAACCATAACTGTTATCCCCACAAGATCCTGGACCTGTCCAGTTCTACCTTTCTTCTACCCTTTGCCTAGAAATCATTTCATAGACCACCATTATTGTTGTATTTTCTGAAATGTTCCTGTAACTCCTGGATGTTTGCTTTTCTGCTTTCTCTAACTTTCCTCTTAAGTGGTGGCTGTTTAACTTACACAGCCTTTCCATGAGATGGGCCAAATACTGATTACCGCCTTTCTTCTTTCCTTTTCCTTTTTTTTCTTTATTTGTTTGTTTTTGTGGTGATTGGGATGGAACTCAGGGTCATCCCTTGATAGTAAAACACTTGCCTAGCATATGCAAAGCCTGGATTTGATCCTAGATAGATGATAGATAGATAGATATAAAGATAGATGGATTGCCCTCTTCTCTCTTGTTGTTGATTAGACTGTTGTCCTTCTACCTTTTCTCTACAATTCCTGAGCTATGAATTTCATCAAATCAATTAGTGCCTTGAATTGTTATTATAATTGTTCTATTATCCTGGGTCTTCCTTTTGATTTGTCTACAATTTTAGCTTAGGCTCATTGTCAGTTTCTCCATCAATACTTCCTTGTAAATCATGGATGATCTCAATCCTTGCAAAGATAGTTATTTTGGGACTATGGCCTTTCTGTTCCTTGAACTTCCCTTTCTGCTAATCTTGGCCTCTATGCACTACCCTAAAACTTCTAATCACTAAAAACTGCAGTCCTTTGTAATGTCATTCCATGCGCTGAACTGTTTGATCAAATCCTTCTGGCCCACATCATTCTCCTTTCAGGCTCACCAGGACCACATGAGAAACAATTCTGCTACCACCATTTTACTGTTCTTAGGTCCCCTTCCCTATCCATTGGCAGCATAAGTCTGATAGTCAACACTTATATCCACTCTGCCTGTCAACTGTAATCCCTTGACAAAGCAGCCACTTTAATTAGACCCAGCTCTTAACCTGCTGCATGCTAGCACCCCTGCAGAAAGAGAAACCTGCAGCTTACTGTTTCTCTTACTCTGTGCCCATGGACCTCGGTGGTCCTTCATGCTGTCTGGAAATCACACCTTACCACTTTTTCTCTTATCTGCCACTGTCCCAGATGGCTGTTTAAAAGCTTATTCTCTCTCCTCTCACCTCCAGTGCCTCCTCCCCAACTCCAAGGTAAGCTTTCCACACTTTTCTTCTGCACTGAGAAATCTGAAAGAGCAGAAGGAAATTCTGCACATTTCCTCTCATCAGATCTTACCACCCACCAGCATCTTCCCCTAATTAATCTGTTTCCTTCTTGACATCCTAGAAGAAGTATTTGTCCATCTGCCTAAAGCTAACTTCTCCACCTGGGCTCTGGGTCTAATTTTTTCTTCCTTACTATTCAGCAGAACCCGAGATGACCTTCAGGTTTAGTGATTCATTAGAAGACTCCCAGGACTCAGGAAACAGTCATCAGAGCTATATTTTATTATAGTGAAGCAAAGGAAAGGAAAAGCAGCAAGGAGAAAAGAGTCATGGAATAAAGTCCAGGGAAAAAGAGGAGCAAGGATGTCCTGTGGATACACTTAACTTCTCCAGCAGCAGTGTAGGACCAGGGTTTAGGCCAAGTGAGCCACTTTGTCAATTCTGGGGGTAGTAAGTTCCCACAGACAATCAAGATCCCCAGGCGCCAGGACCAACCTTTCTAAGGTTACAGGGTAGCAGTTTAAGCCTGCTTATTAACTCCTTCTGTATACCCACTTAAAGATACTGTTCTTGCAGTATTCCTCTCTCTTAAATTATGTTTTGTTGTTTTTACTAACTTATTTCCTTAAGCCAAAAAAGGCTGTTAATTTTTCCACATTAAAAAATAACAACAAATAGAATAAAAACCTATTGCTGGACATGGTGACTCAGGCCTGTAATCCCAGCAGCTTGGGAAGCTGAGATAGGAGGATCGAAAGTTGACTCCAGGATAGACAAGCCCCTGACCCCTTTTACTCATTAAAAGCATCGTGTGTGTGTGTGTGTGTGTGTGTGTGTGTGTGTGTGTGTGTTTCTGAAGCAGTCAGGGATTCAAAAGAATCTTTTGCTAAAAAACAATGATTCTGTACTTGGTCCTACAGATGCCCAGTAGGCAACTAAAAGCAGAACAAAGCTTGATTTTTATTTTGTATCTGTCTCCTTTATTAACTTAAAGCTTTGCATGAGATCCTTGCTCAACTCTGCACATAGTCACATTAATCATTGAAGGAGCATCTGTCTAAAAGTTGCCAACACAAGGTTGATCAGCCCTAAATTAACAACATATTTCATCCCCTTTCAAGACAGAGAACACCAATATGAGAGTTTTATAGGAACACAAAAATATCAATGAGTGTGAAGAATTCTCTTATTATTGTCCAGACATGCAGCAGCTTGGATTCAGCAGAGCATTGGCGTAACTGAGACTTTCCCAGGCACAATCTCATCTTATGGAGACCAGATTTAGCCATAAGGACTTCTGCTGGAGCCATTTTGCAAAACCACAACTGAGACAATGATCAAACATACCCTGGTTGACCCCAACTCTTTAAAAGCTGTGTCTTCCTGTACATGGAAGGGCCATTCTTACACTCTGATATGTTCCACCAGAACTGTGCTCCCTTCGGCTCCCATTTTCTCTTACTTTCTAACTCTGTCCATTACATCTGCCTATTCCTCTTACTGAAGAATCTTGAAATGCTTTTATGCAACGAGAGTCAAGAAACTATCCAGGGCAATTTGAGGTCTCCACCTACGCTTTAGGGGATCTCCTCAGGCCCCTCCAGTGACACTATTACCCATTTCTCAGGTTCCTTTCTGCCAATTTTTTCTTAAACCCTTTCCTTTCAAGCCTTCATCCCAATCACTCTCCTCATCTCCTCATATAAAGCCAAAGGTCAGGTCGTGGCCTTCACACTACCTGACCTCTAACATTTGACACAGTGGATCAGCCCTTCTTTGTTGAGTATGTTCTTCCCGAGGCTCCCAAGACTCCTCATTCTCTTAGTTTTATTTTTAATAAAAACTCTTAAACATATGTACCCTATTTATTCTGTTTCTTTGGAGAACCCTGATACAATGATCAATAACATTTTTATTTAGGGTAAAAGAAAATGTTTGTTCTTGGATGAAATGCCACTGATGATAATACCATTTGGATTATTTTTTCTTTAAATGTTAATATCCTTCTTAATTTTTTATTTTAATGTAATACAAATGCTTCTTCTCCATCTTTTCTTCTCTTGGACTCCTTGTTGTAGTGCTGAAGGGTATGGTTCTTAATTCTTAACTTACATTGATTTCTTTGATGATGTCATTCTGTCTCACAGTTTTAAAACCATTATTTGTGGTAAATACAACATTCACTTTTCCAGTCCAAACTTTTCTGTAAAAACACAAAGCTCAAAGACTAGCTATATCTCTATTTGGAAATCTAAAAGACATCCAAAACTCATAGTTCCACTCCTGAACTTTCTCCAACAGTCTAATCCATCTACAAGTCTTCTCTGTGCATAATTTTTCACCATACACTTCAATAGTTGCAAAGGATGTGACTTAAAATATGTCATTGATGCTCCATTAAATTCTTCTTCTAGTATCTACTCATAGAAAGCCAATACCATGGAAACTGGACACACACCATCACTCATTTAAAAAGTATTTGGAAATACATGTTCTTTTTTTTGGTACTGGGGATTGAACTCGGGCCCTTGTGCTTGCACAGCAGGCGGCGAAACCACTGAGCTAAATCTCCAGCCCTGATTTAAAAAGTATTTGCAGAAACTCTTTTAACAGTTGAAATTTTTATTGTTTTATTTTTTCTTCACTTAAAATTATCATTCTACTTTTCCTACATAATTTTTACAATATAAATACTTTATCCTTAGGAGCATTTTATTGTTCATTCAGTCATAAATTTGGTGTAAGAAACATAGTATGTTGATTGAAATATTTTTATTACCTTTAGCCATAACACTCTAAGCCTTAAACTTTTGATTTTACATTGAATTGTTTTTTATAATTGCATGAGTGTTTAGTTGATAAAATATCCTGAATCTATTACTAAATCTGCCAAGTGATGATTAAATATAAAATAAAAACACATTAGAAATGCATTGATTAATGAGACAGAAGGACCTAAAATTGTTCTCTATACTCATGAATGAATAAAACATATTCCTAGAATGAGGTGGTTCCAGCTTCTATTATATTCTCTATATACATATATATATGAATATGTGTTTATATATATGTTCATATATATATGTATATATGTCAACATATGTATGTATTGTATATAATATATAGATATTAATGTAGAGGAAGATTGTTCAGGTAAGTAACTAGTTTGGAATAGATATATTATTATAGAAATGTCAATATTTTTTAAATTCCTGACTTCCATCCCCAGATTACAAAGTGATTTAATGTTTAAAATTGTGTTTATTGATCTGTCAGATTGCAACTCCATTAGCTCTACCATCGATTTTGTATAACTCAGAGAATTGAAGACTATCTGATTTACAAAGGCATGTGTTTCTGTATTAAAGAAAGAGCTAATCGTTTTCTCAGTATTGAAAACAGTATATTGAATGTGTTCCCCCATTCACTGATTTTTTGCTTTTCAGAAGTTGCAATCTGCCTTAATTTGAAGAAAGCCATGTATGAAAAGTTAGTTGAGGGAGAAGAGCTTGCATCAGTATCATAAGCCTATTCTCATTAGTATTGGAGACAGATAAAAAACATATTAAAATTTTATTCCTTGTAAAGTACCGAGAAATCTCAAGGTAGACATGCCTATTTGAAGATGAATGTCCTAGAATTAATATTGGAGATTTAAAAAAATTCAGTCACTCTGAAGTTTTTCCTTCCTCAATCATAATTAAGGCCAAAGATAATTCTGACTGTCAATGCATTGCTTTTAAATCTCACAGTTAGGATTATTTGCAGTAATGACCTGTAGTAAAATTTATCTTTGCTTTTTCTAAGTGAAGCCATTCTGTCCCTTAAGAATAAGAAGTCATCTTGATAACTTAGTTTAACGTTGCATTAAAATTATAGCTTTTGAAGAGTATTGATTTTTGTAAGCATGAGTCTTTCTACCTAGGAGTCCCATATGGCTCTGTTTATGAGTATTTAAAAAATTTTATGTTATTGAGTAAATATGAGTATATTTATCTTCAAATAGAGATCCTGAATATTTCTTAGAGATTGTTTAGAAATATATTGTATTTTTATAGCTATATTTGATTATGTTACAGGTAAAACTTTGTTCATGGAAATTACAAGGAGAACCTTTATATACAGCATGGGGGGGCAGTCTAGTGGCACAGCTGTTGTGTGTCGAATCTGCTTAGCACTGAGCAAAGAGAACAGTATTTATTTTTAATAAAAGAAGACAGTTTATTTGAAGGTGGGGGAAAAGAGAGAGAGAGAGAGAGAGAGAGAACATGTTGGACAGCTATTCTGGACCAGTAGGGAGAATTTGAAAGTGCATTGCTCTGGGAATGGTATTTTGCAACATTCTGTCTTTTTGTTTTGTTTTGCCTAGGAAAGAAGAAAAGAATTTGAGCAAAATCTCAGAAAGTCAGGTCTTGAATTGGAAATCGAAGACAAAAGGGTAAATATAGTTGAAAATCTATGCAAAAATCTTATTTATTAAGTGTTGTTTTTCCTCTTCTGACCTTTGGCTAGCTAGATTTGGTGTTTGAGACAATATGTGATTCTTTTGACCACAGATTTGTGCCCTGGAAATAATAGCGCACAATTTTACAGGTCAGTAAATCAACCAACTGAGTAGGAGATGAGTAGTGGACACTTTAAAAAGTACAAACAGTTTCTGTTGAGAAAGTCAAAAAAGATGAAGACATAGTATAACCTACCATTTAAACTAGGATAGTGTCCATGAATATGCCATTTTCTTTTAACTTCACTTACTGTTTTTCTAGAATTTCCTTCAAAATTGTTTTTAAAGACCTATTTAAGATCTTATCCTGTCTATAACACTTCTAATGCTAAGTTTGATAAACTTATTTCTCTTATCTTTACTGAACCAAAAAATGTGTATTGTACCGCACAATATGCAACTTATTTATTTATCTACATAACTAACCCGTGTTATCTAAAGCTCTTTCTCTCCATGTAGGCTGATACAGAAGCTGGGTAAGAAGAGTAAGAACGTCTTATAGTTTGTATGTATCTCTTATATAACCTATACAAAATTCTGAGTTCATATCTAGTCACTAAAACTCAAGAGATTACCCAGAACCACACATACAGCTGTGGATTTAGGGCAGAGTGTCCCTTGACCCTGAATTATATTCTTAAAAATATGATCTTTTTGTTTCTGGGTGCCCTTGTTTCTTTCTGTCCGCATCTATCTCTGCCTCTGTGTGTTTCTCTCTCTCTCTTTCTCTCTCTCTCTCTCTCTCTCTCTCTCTCTCTCTCTCTCTCTCTCACACACACACACACACACACACACACATGTATATCTCTTTTGGGAATTTCATTTTCTAAATTTTTGCTGAAAACTCTTAAATTGAAAATTCTGTGACATCTTCAAAAAATTTTTAACACTTTCTTTTCTTTAATCATCTCAGTAAGCTTTCTGTTTTCTTACCTCCTTTGTGCAGGATTCCGAGGATGGAAGAACTTACTTTGTCAAGATCCACGCCCCTTGGGAGGTGCTAGCTACCTATGCTGAAGTGCTGGGGATCAAAATGCCTATTAAGGAGAGTGACATTCCCCGGACGGAGCACCTGCCCTTTAACTGCATGTTCGCGCCTGTGAAGCTCCCAGAGACCGTGAAATATCCTCGCCCTGAATATTTCACTGTCCAGTTCAACAGGCGTCGGCAGGAGCTCTTCCTCATTGACGACAAAGCCACCTTCTTTAAATCCTCATCAAGAAACAGAATTGTAGGTAGAGAAGAGCTTGCGCCGGGCTCTCCTGGCATGGCATGTTGTGTCTTTGGATGTGTAATGAGGGATTCTAGGTCTGCACGGTGCTCTTGGGTGGAATGGAAGCATTGAACATTGGAAAGTCTCTTGGGTCCACTTCATCCCGTTAATCTCCCTACCTCTCAAACTATTGTTTAAGTAGTGGCTGACAGTGTTGATAGAGTAATGACAAAGGCATCATGTAATCCTAGAAGCACCTAACTGAAAGGAGAGCCTCGCTTTCTGGATAACTCTTTTAAAAATTAGGTTTATAAAACTAATGAGGCTTATTTCACTTTTTAAAAGACTTCGATTCATCTCAAAGGAAGGGAGAAGAAACTTATAATTACAAATTCTTTAAAGGAAATGGCGAAGAACAGGGAGGTGGAGGCACTTCTCTTTGGGAACCGGGGAAAACTCAGTTCTTTTACACCTATAATAAATACCCTTACAGTTTCTTTTGTAACTATTTCATAGCAATAAAAGCCAAGAGAATTCTTCCAAGTTCCCATTCCTTATCTCATCAAATGGTGAGTTGAAGTGTTTATCCCCTTTGATCTAGCAGCACAGGGCTCTTGTTGGCTGACTTGGCTAGATTTTAAGTAAGCTTCTCTCATCCTCATGGGGAACTGAGCCGTGACCCACTCAGCGGACCCACTCATGAGCACTGAGGCATAAGGCGGCTCCTCCCCAACAGGGGGGACCCTCCCTGCCCCTCCTGCTCACCAAGCAAGAGCCTTCTCTCCCTGACCTTTCAGATGACTGTAGCAGTCCCCTCCCACTTCCCATTCTCCCAGTAGTCTTTTTTTGGTGGGGGGGGGGGCAGGGATTGAACTCCAGACCTTGCAGTTTTGAGGCAGGCAGTGGAACCACTGAGCTAAGTCCCCAGCCCTCTGAATCGTCTCTTTTAACCGAAGTCTTTAAAAAAAAGAAGCCAAATCCACATTTCCTTTTGTTTGAAAACACCGTACTTTACTTATTTCTATAGGTTATAATACATCTTACTGTCTGGTAAACATTCCACTTTGATAACAACCCACATCAGTGTTGTTATTTTGATGGCTTTTTAAAAAAAAATTTTAATTTTAATTTTTTCTGGTGATTGTTTTTTTAAGGAGATAATCCAAAGTATATAAAGAGGTTTTTATTTATCACATTAATCATGAAATGAAAACTGTAAATTATTGTTTCCTCATCAAAATGGAACATTAAGCTATCTTTAGGATGGATAAACTGATTAGGTAGCAATGATTCAAGGACAAAATCTATTCCAGTCAACACCTTGAATGATGAAGTGTAGAAGAAACATGGAAGTAAATATAAAAGAAAAGTGGGAAATATATCTCAAGTGGTGCTAAAAGGACCAAATTCAGTAATCAGAAAAGTTGAAATTCTGAACAGTTGCTGGAAGACAAGCAGCAGATGAGGTTGAATTGATAGAAATACGAGATCTGGGAATACCACAGCCCAAATTATATGCAAGAGAAAAGTGAAACAAAGATATAAGGAATCGCAAAGTGGCCATACAGAGATGATAATCTTGATGAATAAATTAAACTAAAGACAATAGCAGGTAAAGGCCCCATATAAATCATCAGAATAACTTACTGAAGAAATATCCAAAAGAGCATGGCTAAGTATTAGTTCTACCTCCTATTTCTCCAAGTGAACTATTTATTAGTAATGATATGAGACTCTAACTTGAAACCCTGATTATTGTTGGGATTCTGGCATAAAGGGCTCACAGAGAAGCTTGGGATGAAGGTAGCAAAATAAATTGAGATCCATCTACCCTCGCAGCCATCATTAGAATGGGGAACTCTCAGAGCTGTGGGCTAGAACACCTACGAAATTCACGCAACTCCAGTTTTGTCTTCTCTCAAACAGTAAAGGGACGCTTCCCACTGTCATTACCATCTGGGTCTACATCCAGACACATTCAGATACAATGTGAAATTGTGGCCAAAAAAAATGTGAAAAGCATCAAGATCTGAAAGGTGCTAGCGTCTCTTGGTATTTACCTTTTAGGTGTACTATATTCTTTCACGGTGTCCTTTTGGCATAGAAGATGGGAAAATAAAGTTTGGGATTGAAAGACTGCTAAATTCTAACACTTATTCATCTGCCTACCCGCTCCATGACGTAAGTATGATTTCAACTCTGAAATAACAAGCTTACTTCCTCACATGTTCAGAGACTGCCTTTTTTGAGAAATAAAACCTCCATTTCCTTTGTTTTTCTTTTTCCCCATCTTCTTACTTCTTTCTCATGATGGGAAAAAATCCCCAAGACTTGCTGCTTCCTAACTGAAAATTCCACTAGTCATGCTGAAACCTATTGTTAGTACCTCTTGAGATTGAGGTTTTAAAAGTGCATTTCTTGGGTTGGAAGCTACATGATATAAAATTTTATACCTTATTATTAAGTTTCACATTTTAAACCGGATACTCTTCAGTGTTGTCTTTAGCAGTTCAGTTGTCTACACAGAGAGAAAGAAAAATAATCTATTAAGTAGCTACTATGTACCCAGTACTTATATACCAGACAATATACTAGATACTAGACAATATACTATATACAATATAATAGCAATACTGCTATTCATTACCTAACAATGAGTAAAGAACTTACACATAAAATAACACTGAACCTCTCAGTGCTAAACTGTGCTGTAATATTTGAATTTGTTGGGAAGTGGGCAGCAACCATGACCAAAGAGTACAGCAAGCGTTTCTTTCTGTAATAGCTGGATAACTTGTATCAATTACTGAACTTTGCTAGGGGTTTAATTTTTCTACCTATTAAAAAAATTGCTGCATATTTCTAAAGTCCCAGCCAGCTCCATAGTGACATGAGTCTTTGAGTTGAAATGGTGCACACAGATTTCAGTAGAGAAGAAAGGGCATCCTGGGCTGAAGGAACAACCAGAATAAAGGCAAAGTTTCATGTATAAACTTGGACTTTTAGGTAATTGTTACAGACTTAATAAATAAATTGCTGTGATTATAGTTTTTGATAGACTGCAGTACATGAATGAAATTCCGTCAATGATTGATGGAATGTAAATACTAAAGAGGGCATTGTCCTAGCCCACTAGTGTTCTTTAAAAATGAAAGTGTTTATTTACTTCATTCTTATTTTTCCACTTTCTCTTTAGGGCCAGTATTGGAAGCCCTCAGAAGCTCCAAATCCTGTCAATGAAAGGCACATACTTCATAAGAACTGGGCTCGGTTTTCCTATTTCTACAAGGAACAGCCTTTGGATTTGATTAGGTGAGTTTGTGATAGGAGATCATACTGATTTAAACTTGATGGTATTTGTATTCAGAATGACATCCTAGGGCTGGGGATTTAGCTCAGTGGTGCCTCCACCTGCCTCGAAAGCACAAGGACCTGAGTTTGATCCCCGGTATCAAAAAACAAACAACAAAGAAACAAACAGAATGACATCATTGTATGTTATTTTTTACTGTCATTTTCAAAGACTGCATTTTACAGCGTCTACTATACTACTGATTAGTATTTCACTTGGAAGCAAAGCGTTGCTGTCCAAATCTATGAGAAAGAGCAGATATAGCAAGATGGTTCAGAGGTTAGCCCCTTGAATTTAGCCAGGTTGGATTCGAATGCAAATTCTGCCTCCAGAAAGCTGTTTTAACATGGGCAGTTTACTTAACCACAATCTGTAAAGTGGAAATGATACTAGTACTTTCATTGTGGGGTTATCTGCTAACTAAATAAGATGTGTGTATTTTGAGCATAGGAATGTTTTCATTCCCTATTAGTTTTGTTTTTATTTTACAGTACAAGAATTTAGAAAGTAGGAGAAAAGTAATGTATCAGTATTTGTCTGTGTGATGATCTCAGAGAGCTATAAAATCATTTCATTTGTAATCACAGTTCTTTAGAGTTGCATTAACTAAACAAAAAGATGATATTGCAGGTTCTTATATCTGAAAGGTGACTATATATATATACATTTGTATGTATTTGAGCATCATATATATGAATATATATGATGTTACGAGACTTGTGCTGTGATTTTGGTGAAGAAACAATGAAACTGCAGAGACTCCTAGAGGCTGTATTTTTCATTGGATTTATTCTTGTACTGCTATGTCTGTACAACAGCATTCCAGCATCCAGTTTATGAGACTGATTTTGATGCATCCACCAAGCCATTGGAAATGTTATTTGAACAGTTTGGATGGCAAATCTAAGAGACAAATAAGGCAACTAAGAGACATTTAAAAAATAAATAGGATCCTAGCCCGCTTAGAAAATGATGTTTTCTCTGTGAATCTTCATGAAAACTTTTTTTCTGGGATGCCTATTTGAATCATTTTGAATAACTGTATTTTAATTTTTAAGCTACAAAACAGAAAATTTATGAAAAAAATTAAGGAGTGGGGATATGTGTAAAATTTTAAGTGGAAAACCCATCTCCATTGAAGACTGAAGAAGTAACTAGTCTAGGGCTGGGGATGTAGCTCAGTGGCACAGTGCCTGCCTCGCAAGTGCAAGGTCCTGAGTTCCATCCCCGTTCCCCCTCGCCCCCCAAAATAGAAGTAACTACTCTAAATCTGGTAATATCCACTCAGTTCTGTGTGCCTGCACAAGAAATATGATTCACAAATGCAGTTTTGCCAAGGGCATTGTAGATGGGGGGTTTTGGCCACTCATAAAACAATTGTTTGTTGAAGTATCTATCATTATTTCTGACATCTTTTTCTCCTTTATTTGTGCTGAGGATTTCATTTCTCACTGCATATATTATTTATATCCTTTTCTGTAAACACACAAAGATCCATCTCATACTTTTGGAACAGAATATAGAATATTTTATTACTAATTTCTATACATCTATTAATTTTTCTATTGACAAATATTAGAGTGTCCCATATTTTTCACTTTTGGGTTCAACATTGTCAAGAACACCTGTGATATTTTGCTGTTGAGGAATATTTTTGGAGCATATGTTCAGACAAGCAAAATTTTCATGAATGGCTGCGTCTTTTACATTATTCAAAACATAGTGAGCATGTATTCACCTAACATTACTCAACTGTCTACTATACATGTTCAGTGCTACAAGTGTTCATCAGAAGTTGGTTTTCCTAAGCCCAGATATACACAGAAATGTTACATCTCCCTTCAGTGTGGTGTATCTGGAATATCTTGCTAGCAGCTGCTAACTTCCTTTTACTGCAAACACAAAGCTGGGGTGTTTCATTGAGTAGCAGTATGTTGCTCAAATTTAATAATTTTAAAAATATTTGGTCATTTTCTTATGACCAATTTGGATGTATAGCAAATTATACTGTTTCAATTTCAACCATGGAATGACTTTTTTAGTAAATGTATATTTTGAGAAGAAAATTTAATGTAAAGAAATAAAAACAGTATAAAATTTTAAGTAGACAACTGAAAAAGCAAAAGAGAAAGCCTTACATTGTCATAGAAGTAGCAATTGCAGGAAAGAGCCGTTTTGCCTGGAGTTTCTTTTCAGTGGTTATGGGAGAGAATATCTTCACTCTCAAGGATAGACAATGAAATATCCAGGGTAAAGGAACACAATATATTCAATTTATTTTCTAATGGTTCATGAAGATAGATGATAGATAGATGATAGACAGATAGATGCAAATGTAGCAAAATAATTACTTTTAAAGAACCAAAGCATATGTTGAGTTTCTTTGAATTATTCTCACAAGGTTTTGGATATTTGAGACAATTTACAAATGAAAACTTACATAAAGGAGAAGTTCAGAAATTGGCCCATGCACATATGAGCAACTGATTTACAGTAAAGGTGCCCTGCAATTCAATGAAGAAACCACAGTCCTCTCATCCAATGATGCTGGTTCAAATGTATATCCATAGGCCGAACATGAATCTCGAGCCTTGCCTATAGAAAATTTAAATTAACTGGAAGTGGATCAGAGTCAAAGTACAGGAAATAAAACTACAAAACTCTTTAAAAAGCATGTAGGAGAAAAATCTAAATGACCTGGGGTTATGTCTGATTTTCTCAGATAAGACAGAAAAAACACAATGAAAACTGATATATTTGATTTAAGCAAATCTAAAATGTTTGCTCTTTATGGGGAAGTTGCAAAAATCAAACAACAGACTGGTAGAACATATGTGCAGTTTCCATAAATGACTTTTATCTAGAATATATAAGGAAATCTTAAAACTCAGTGAGGCGACCAAATAGTTTAAAAATGGGCAAAGAATTTTCAGATAAGTCACCAAAGACTTGTGTTTAAGGATGGCCTATAAGCATATCAAATTTCAATATTATTATTCACTGGAGGAATAAAAGTGTCATTTAGATGCCACTACACTTCCTCTAGAACCGCGAAAGTGAAGAAGACTCACAATGGGAGACACTGGTGGGGACCTGGGGCTCTTTTTTTTTTTTTTCTTTTTTGCCGGGGATTGAACTGGGGTCCTTGCGCTTGCGCAGCAGGCGGCGAAACCGCTGAGCTCAATCCCCAGCCCGACCTGGGGCTCTTGAAGTCTGCACCCTGCTGCTGCTAGGGCTTCATGTTGTAGCTGTTCCCGTGGCGGTTTCCGCAGCGGTTTGGCAGCTTCTTAGAAAGTGAAATGCACACTCTCCTTGTGTTCCAGCAATTCCAGTTGCAAGTATTTAACAACAACAACAAATGAAGCATTTGTGCGGAAACATGTTCATAGCGATTTAGGAATAATTTTTAAAAAACTGGAAACAAGCCTCCTATTCATGAACATATGACTGCATAAACAAAGTATCATACCTTCGAACAATGGAGTTCTTCAGAATTATAGAAACAAATTTATAATGAAACAACAGGGATGAAAGTGAAAAACATTATGTTAAAGAAAATAAGCAAACCACCAAAAGCTACATGCATTGTGTTTCCATTAAAAAATATTCTGCAGCCGGGGATTTAGCTCAGTGGTTCTGCCTCCTGCCCTGCAAGCGCAAGGACCCAAGTTCAATTCCTGGTACCAAAAAAAAATATTCTGCAAAGTGAAATAGTATAGGGGCAAAACCAGAATTGTGCTGGCCCAGGTGAAGATGTGGAGCGGAAGGTTAATGACAAACGGTACGAGGGAGCTCTGTGAAGAGATCTGAGTGCAGGCTATGTAATTAGGGTGCTGCTTCCATGCCCACCGGGCTTTGAACTTACTGAACTACACACTTAAACCAAGAATACTTTATTGTGTCTGGATTATATCCCCACAGATTTCATTGGAAAAAGTAAAATTAAACACTTCTCTTAGAATTTCCCTTCTGGGATAAGAAAACTGTTGAGGGCTGGGGATTTAGCTCAGTGGCTTTGGCACCTGCCTTGCAAGCCAAGGACCCGAGTTCAATCCCCGGTAGAAAGAAAAGAGAGAAAGAGAGAAAGAAAGAGAGAAAGAAAGAAAGAAAGAGAGAAAGAAAGAGAGAAAGAAAGAAAGAAAGAGAGAAAGAAAGAAAGAAAGAAAGAAAGAAAGAAAGAAAGAAAGAAAGAAAGAAAGAAAGAAAGAAAGGCGGGCATATTTGTATAGAATAAATGTATTTATAGTGACTATCATGATAGTTTTATAATGTGAAGATAATATATAGCAAAGCGAAAAGCTTCTTGTTGAGGAACGAAGCTTAAACATTGTGGAAATTACAGTTTGTTATTAAGTTCTTTCATAGAATTATATGACAAGCTGTTAGGAGCCAAAAGGAATCAGCTCTGCCTGTTCAGGAAACTGGAGTCTCTCAGCTTTGGTCAAGTGGGCTCTGTTGCCATAAGGAGAGGGATTAATCAGTTTAACTCAGTGAAACTTGGATTTCTGAGGCAGCAAAAACTACATTCTTGGGTTCCTAAAGGGGACTCAGTTAAAAAAATAACAAAACTTAGATTTGAGAAGAACATTTATGCTCATTAATTCTATCACTTCTCAACTCTTTCTAAACAAAAGCAGAGCTGCGTATTTTATGGAATTTCACTTAGTCATTTTTAATTCCTTGTCACAATTCATGATTTATCACTCCAAGACCCAGACTGGGAAGAAGATGAAAATTCGTACAGAGAGTGTGGTCAAATTGCCTTCTTCAGTTTCAGAAACGGAGGGAAAAGAAGAGCGTGTGCAGGTTTGCACTGTCATTTTGGTTCCTCGCATTCATCGGCAGACATTGCATTGCAGAATACACTATAGTTTATTTCAAAAATAGTTCATCTTCCTGAAGAATTGAGATGCTCTTCAAACAGTCTTACTATTCAGAATTTAAAATCCATTCAAGGGCTCCCTTCTTCTTTGTGCTACCTCTTCTAATTTCCATACCTATTCTTATACTATGGGATAAGCATCATTCTGTGCCTTATGATGTGCAAAGTAAAGTTCAGAGAGTTGAGTAACTTGACCAAAATTATGTGGGCAGAGGCAGTACAGCCCAAATGAGAACACACACCTGTCTAAATACAAAACTAAGGCCCCTTGGATTAAAACATTCTTCTAACCTCTGATTCTATTTTTACTCTCTTTCACAGGGATTATTATGGAGAAAAAATTGCTATCTACTTTGTCTTTCTTGGTTTTTACACAGAGATGCTGTTCATTGCAGCTTTGGTTGGCTTAGCTTGCTTTATTTATGGCTTATTATCAATGGGCAGTAACCCAAGCAGGTAAGGACCCCAACATGCCCAGAGAAAACATCCTTATCCTATGCTACCTGAATCTATTATTATTATTTCCTTGGTATTTTCCCGGTGTTTCCTTATGTCAGTAAATAATTGCTATTTCTGAGGATAGCACAACATACTCATTGGGTGGTTTAGGAAAGTCTCCTTCGGATTATGAGCTATGAACAATCTGTTCCTAAAAATATGCCTTGACCCCCTATGGAAATTGCTGCTTTATTTCCCCTTCTGTTATATGCAAGAAGCTATATAAATGGTTGTTCTGGAAAGAATAGCTTAGATTTTCATCTCAAACCTCATCATTTCTAAACAACTACACTCTTCTTTGGCCAGCGTGGAAATCTGCGACCCCAATGTTGGTGGTCAGATGATCATGTGCCCGCTCTGTGATCAAGTGTGTGACTACTGGAGACTGAATACCACCTGTTGGGCTTCAAAGGTAAATATTCGTGGTGGTATGTTGAAAAGACTTGGAATTTCCCTTCTTTCGCACTGCATTGTATACTAAGTGTCTTTGTGTTGTTATTATTATTTTTACAGTTCTCCCATTTATTTGATAATGAGTCAACAGTGTTCTTTGCAATATTCATGGGAATTTGGGGTGAGTACATAGTCCCATAAAAACAGCTTTCTCACATTGCATGATAAATAGTTCATTCAAATAACGTATTCAGAGAGCATATTTTACATTTCAAAGGTGGTTTTAGACCATTGTATTTTTGCTATCAATACATGGATGGAGTCGTAGGCCCTTGGTCCTTGGTGTATAAAAGTCTTTATGAAAAAGTGCCCATTTCTCCAAGAAACAATATAATTTTGAGATGTGAAGTTATTAGGCTGTCACTCTGTTGCTGTGCCATAGGAAGAAAAGGTTCAGTAAGCACTTAACTCAGGAGAGACTAAACCTAAATATTTGATAACTGGAAGAAATTGAGTCAAAGGATCCTTGACTTATGAACTCGATCAGCTCCCGAGGGCTGGTTGTAACTCAAGTTGGTTGTAAGTCAATACAGCTGAGATGTTTACCTGGGCATATGCTTTAGGTGACAAGAGGCAGATGCATCTGCCATTAACCTATTAACCCAAGTGGTTCATGTGTCAGGCCGATTGTAACTTGAGGGTCCACTGTATTCTGGAACAAGATTCAAAAACAGTTGGGACGCTACTAAAGAATTCTTGACTCTCAGTTCCCTATGTCTAGTTCTAAGTCTAGCCTCCAGCTTCACTTGATAAAAATCTTCCCTATAAAGTAGAGTTCCCTTCACTTTGGAAATGTTCCACTCAGTGCTTTTTGTTTTCCATGTCAGATAGAAAATATCCTGGAGTTGTTCCTATTAACAGGCTTTTCAGGATCATGGCTAGATTCTATGAAAATCGAAGCTCAAGAATATATTTTTAGCACACATTCCTGTAAATAGTTAAGTTGAATGAAATGATACGTTTGTGGAATAGAAATGGAAAAAAGATCATACAGGTTAATGACTCAATATTGGTCCAAGGAATTGAGAGCAATAAATGAAAAATGTTTTGTAGTAGGGGGTAGAAAGTGCTTTTCTTTTAAATGTTTAGGGCATTTATAATGAAAATACATAACCTGCACAGGAAAATAAGCTAATGCATATAAGTGAAAAAAATGTTAACATCACCCAAAGTATGATCATTATTTCCACCATGATTTTTCAGAATCTTTCACTCTATATGTGTGGGCCTTATGTGTTCACATAATTTTACAGGAGTGACATAATATTGTACATACATAGCTTTAAATCTGCTTTTTAAACTCAAAAGCAAGAAATAAGAATACTCCTTCCACATCAATGAATATGTCTGAGTGTGTTGCACCCACACATGCCATATGGAAAGCTGTATTTAAAACTGAATTGAATTGTCCAGTGTGAATTTATCACATTTTACAGAACCAGTATTCTATTGTTGCATGTTTAGGCCACTAACACTTTTTTTACCATTAGGAACAATGTTAGAATAAACATTTTTTTTTATATGCACAATTTTATTTTAAGAATAAATGCTTAGGTGAATTTCTGGGGAAATTTTCTATTTACAATTCTAAAGGTTTGCTATAAATTCCTGTATTGACTTATATTAAGGCTGTGTACCCATCTAATTTTCTACGAGTATTCTGAGCTTTTTCTATGTTCCAGTCATGGATAAGCATGGAGATTCACATTTTTTTTGTCATTTACAATATAATAGATGTGATATTATCTGATTATGGCTTTTATCTACAGTTACTTGGTCACAAAGTAAGACTGAACATCTTTCTGATATTTATTGACCATTCATTAGCAATCCTAGGCTTTGGAAGTCCGGATATTTGTAGTAATTGGCAAGTCCTACTTCGTTCAGCTTTGGAGATTGAAGCCAAGTGTGCTCTGTGACTGAGCTAAGTCTCCAGTGCTTTAGATTTTTTTATTTTGAGGTGGATTCTTCCTAAGCTGCAGACTGCCCTGGGACATACCATGATCCTGCGTCCCTCCCCTGAGTAGATTCAGAGATGCCCTAAGTCAATTTTCTAGAAAACATTTTTTCCAAGTTGCTATTTATATTGCACTTTGTTCATAGTAGAAATTTTAATATGTGTAACATAGTCACAAATCTTTCCTTTATGACTTATTCTTGTTTCATGCATGTCTTTGGAAAAACCTTCCCCAAGTAAGATGTTCACCCACACTTTATTCTGGCAGTGTAATAATTTCATTTTATTTATAGCTTAAAATAATTCAGCAAGTACTTTTGAAGTTTCAATTTTATCACAGATGTTGTTGTAAAAAATAGTGATTAAAATATGCACATTTGGGCCGGGGATTTAGCTCAGTGGTTTCGCCGCCTGCTGTGCAAGCGCAAGGACCGGAGTTCGATCCCCGGTACCAAAAAAAAAAAATGCACATTTATGGCCCCATGATTCTAATTGTTTAAAGCCAATCACTAACTAGGTTACTTGTTACATTAGAGCAGTCACTATGGATTTCATCTCCACAGTTCCAAGTGTAAGAATATGTTATGTATTCAAGTGTATGTTAGATAAATGAATAACTTGGATGTTATTTGCATTCTTTCCTGAAAAAAATCAAGTCCTAGTCAAGCTCAATCTACAAGACCCAAGCCAAATGTCTGTTTAATTTTTAGAAATTCTTTCTGTGGAATACGTGACATACAAATGGCCAGCATTTATATGGAAAGATGCCCAATTGTTATTTGTCAAAAAATGCCAATTTAAGCAATAGGGAGATATCACCTCACATCTCTCAATGTGGCTGTTAAAAGAAGAGAGAGAGAGAGAGAGAGAGAGAGGAGAAAGAGAATATGTATGTGGATGAGAATGTGGAGAAACTGGAAAACATTCATCCTGCTGATAATAACTCAAAAGTGGCAGAGTCACTGTAAAACAGTATAGAAGTTCCTTGAAATTTTAACTATAGAATACTAGAGATTCAGGAATTATTTGTATTTATGCATGAGAAATCAGAATCTTGAAGAGATACTACCACTCTGGTGTTCATTGCAGCATTGCTTATAGTAAGAAGACATGAAAATAACCCAAATGCCTATTGATAAACAAACTGATAAAAAAATGTATGCAGTGGAGGATTATTTAGGCTTAAAAGAAGGGAATTCTATAATATGCACCAATATAGACAAAATTTGGGACCCTAGGCCCAGTGAGGTGTGGCAGTCACAGAAGGGAGACGCTGTGAGATTCAGCTTATGTGAAAGTACATGAAACAGTCAAATTAATAGAATCAAGAAGTGAACAAAAAGAAGTGCCGTTTGGGTGATAAACATATTTGCATTGGAAAGAAAATACATTTGATGCAGAAAGAGCAGCTAAATAAGTATGATGATCTTTTAATAAAGATATAGTTAGGACATACACATAGAATCCATTTTTTATAACTTATTTCTAGGTTAGAGGGAGAGTCAAGGAAGCTTTAAAAGTTGAATCTTTCATGCTAACATAATTTGATTTTTGTCTTAGTATTCTATCCCTAGACATATGCCCCAAAGAAGGATATATATATATATATGCAATAGAGAAAATTCGCATTTCAAATGCTCATCCATAGAAGAATAAATAAAATTGTGGTTTATTCAAACAGTAGTTTTCTGCATATCAATGATAATAACGAACTTTTGCTGCACACAGTGACAAGGTTGATAAAGAAGCATGATACAAAAACTTTCAGTTGTGTGACACTGTTTGTGTAAACTTCACCATTAGGCAAAGTTTGCTTATGATCTTACTCCTGTCTGGGAAGAGTCAGAGGGAAAGTTTCTACAATTCTGGTCATGTTCACCATATTTCATGTTGATGCTGATACCTAAGTGTGTTTATTTCATGAAAATTCTCCTAATTGTACACTGACGTTTTGTGTACTTTTCTGTATGTTATTTCTCAATTAAAATTTAACAGTGGACATACACACACACACTCAATATGTAGGAAGTTGTGTGTGCGTGTATGAAGGCAGGAGAGAGAGGGAGAGAAGAGAGAGAGAGAGAGAGAGAGAGAGAGAGAGAGAGAGAGAGATTGTGCTGAGAAATAGCTCTTATATTTCCCTTAAAAATGTTTCATAGAAAATACTTCTCTATGTTTGATAAAATGGTATTTTGACTTAAACGATTTCAATAAAGGCAGATGCAAAAAAAAAAATCTTTAGTAAACTGTTAAGTTTAAATATTCCATCAAATAATTTGAATTAAGAAACAATGTAATGTGCCTGAAAACAATTCCTGCTTGATCTACTGTGTAAATTTTAAATAGGAATTATTTGAATGTTATTATATAACATTAAGCCAACATTCATAATTGGTAATTTCATCGTCCATGACAGAACAGCCACCTGAAGTATAGGGGCCCCTTTGCAGCCAACACGAATGAAGATAGAGGTGGGAGAAAACTGTTTCCTCATTAGCATTTCTCTCTGCCTCTTGATCATGTTTGTTTTCATGCATTTCTTCACCGGTAGTCACGTTGTTTTTGGAGTTTTGGAAACAGCGACAAGCCAGACTGGGGTACGAGTGGGATCTGGTGGACTTCGAGGAGGAGCAGCAGCAGCACCAGCTGAGACCGGAGTTCGAAGCCATGTGCAAGCACAGGAAAATGAATGCAGTGACGAAGGTACTGTGGCCGCCGTGAAATGGGCCATGCCTTCAGATGGGCGTTGTGCTGTAGGTCGCTCCTCAATAATGATGCCTTCAAAATATTCCCCAACATAAGAGCTCTTCGAACATCCTTACTTATTTCTAGTACATACATGTACTCTTGCATGTATGTATATATATGAGAAATCTTAAACCTAAAGAATAGGAAGCAAGTACAGTATAGTAAACACCATAGACAGGACTATTACTCATCTTCGATCATTTTTATTTCATGTACAAAATACATGAAATTTTTCATCGAAGCCTTACAACTTTCTCTCACTAGATTAGTTTAAAGCAAATATGAGGCCTGAGAATATGGAATATGTAGCTTTAATACTATGTGAGAACAAGAAAAATAGTGTGTATGCTGTGGGCTGCTTTGTCTGTGAATATATAGACATAGAAGTGATGCTAATTTAATATGAAAAAATAAAATAGTTGTATCAAGTAGGATTATGAGTGAATGTTTTAGTAGAGCAAATTTTGTTCATGTCTCTTTCTACTGATTTTAGTGGGAAGATAATTGAATTGGTGGCTTTGGAAAACTGTGTTTGAGAGCTAGTCTCACTTTTTCTTCTTCCTTTTTTTTTTTTTTTCCTTTGTATTGGGAATTGAACTCAGGACCTTTGCACTGATCTGCATCCTCAGCCACTTTACATTATTTTTCTTGAAGCAGGTTCTCACTAAGATTCAAGACTCAAGAATCCTTCACTGGCAAACTAACTGTATACTCTTGACTGAGTCATTTAACTTCTTGATACCTGAGTTTTCTCCTGTGAAAGTGCAAGTTGCTTTGCCTTTGAAGACCAGAGCCTTAGCTACACATTCTTAGAATCTCTATTTTTCTATAAACAGGAATCTCTGTGTCATCTGCTCCTATTAAGACAAGGACATTTCACAGTTCGTAATAGCGAAAGCTTGGAAACAGCCCAAGTGCCCATCAACTGGAAACTGGATAAAGAAGATGTGGTTTTTTATAAAATGGAGTACTACTCAGCCATAAAGAATGAGAAACTAGAGTCATTTATAGCTAAATGGATGCATATTGAGGCCATCCTCTTAAGTGAAATAAATAGGACACACATGTGTAAATACCGAACAGTTTCTCTAGTGTGAGAAACTGAGACTGTAAATAAGGATTAAAAGGATTAAAATGAATAATTGATAATTTGAAATAGGAAAAGGTCCAAAGGTGTAGGGGTGGTGGGAGGGGAAGGGGAAAGGAAAGAAGGGAAAGGAAAAATTATGAGGAAAGAAAAAAATGGAAATGAAATCTATGTAAATAGGGAGGGGTAGAGGGGGTGAAGGATGCACAGGGAATGGGGAAAAAGTAAGAACCAAGATGCATCATGCATGGGTACAAGCACCCAATGGTAAATGTAAACATATTGTATACCTAAAATGCACCAATAAAAGAATTTAAAAAATAAAATAAAATAAAAAGAGGACAGAAGGTGAGCCTCGTGGCATGCACTTGCAACTCCAGAATTCTGGGAGGCAGAAGCAGGAGGATTGCAAGCTCTAGCCCAACTTGACCAACTTAGAAACTTACTGAGATCCTGTTTCAAAGTTATTATTTACATGTACCCACTCTCAAAGATGACTGTAAACTGCATGTGCTATACATGTACTAATAAAACATTAAAATAAAATAAATATTTTAGAAGTGGTGAGGACCTAGCTCAGTGGAAAGGCCCTGAGTTAAATTCCCAGTCCAGGAAAGAAAAAAAAAAGAGAGACAATGTCTCAAATACAAGCTTTTCTTTGTTCAAAACACTATTCTTGTAATCAACACTTACAATTATTTTTACAATTTACATATTCACCAAAAAATTTGTTTCCCTCTACTCCAAAAAGAATAGCTATCATTAAGAAGTAAATAATAACAAATGCTGGAGAGGCTACAGGGGAAGAGGAGCCCTTGTACATTGCGGTGGGAATGTAAAGTAGTCCAAGCATTGTGGAAATCAGCACGGAGATTCCTAAGAACACTTACCAGCTCCCACAATGAATGCAATCATTACCTATTGCAAACATGTACTTATAAAATAAAATATGAAAACCCTAAAAAAGTGAAACTACAAATTTCATTTGACCCAACTAATTCCTTTCTGGGTACCTTCGTAAAAGAGTTCAGGACATCATATTACAGTGACCTACATGTACTCATGTTTATAGCACTGCATCTAAAAAACCTACTTCTTGGATGTGGCCTATATATCAACTACCAGATGAATGGATGAAGAGAAGGTGGTGTTTATACACAGCCTATTACCTGTCAGCCATAAAGAAGAATGAACTTGAGTCTTTTGTAGGAAAATGGATGCACCTTGAGACCTTAAAGTTAAATAAAATACATCAAACACACAAGCTTACCTATCTATGATCCCTCTTATATGAGATACCCAAAATATAAATAAATTAAAAAGCAAAGTATAAAATAGTAGCAAAAGAGGAAATAGATCTTTTTCAGATGGGAAGGAGACCCAGAGAGGGATGAAGATAGGAGGGAGGAAAGGGAAGAGGATGAATTCATTCATTTTAATGAATGAAAATGTGTCCTGTACGTGTATCCACGACCCACAGTGTATGTACGGCAAACCTGTACTAACAAACATTCGAAAAGTAAAATTTCATTGGGAGATCGTGAAAAAATCAATAAGTGAATAGAGGAGAAAAACCCCAGAAAATACATCAATAATTTGAATGTTAGTTTGAAATTACAAAAAGGATATCGACAGAATAATGACATGATGTTTATTCCTATTTCATGATACCAAAAAAAAGAAAAGAAATTGGAAGCAAGATGCTTGCCTTTACCAAAAATTTAACATGGGAAATGGCATATTAAATGTTTTCATCTGGAAGTGGTTGAAAAGCAGTAACTATTGATTCACTGTGGTTCATTCACTTCACTTGAGTCAGGTTTGTAGATTTTGAAATCAAGAGGCAGAATTTGTTTTTTTCTTCTTACAGGGTTTTTTTGGTGTTTAAGTACCACCCCACCGGAGCTCTCTGTTCTGTGTACTGCAAGCACACTCATTACACTCATGCACGGACGGACACACACTCACAAAAATACGCACACACACACTAACCCCCATGTGTACTGTATGCATATGTGCGAACGGTTGTACAAGTCACATATGTGCACATGTGCACACACTGTGATGTTCTGTGGCCCTCTGGACAGCCTACTCTACCCTTGAGAGTTCTCTCTGCCTCCAGGCTACACTGAGATTTCCTAAAATGTGAAATCTTATATTTGGTAGAGTTGCATGGTTTAGATTTCTCTGGTGAAGTTTTTTACTGCGTGGCAGTCATACCTTTTGATGTAGGGAAGAATGTTTGCCAACCTAAAATTAATATCTTCCATTAATGAATCCAAAGCCTGAAGGTAGAAGCATCTGATCTACTGGTTGTTATGTGGAAGAGCATAGTTTATCCCATAAATACAAGGGACACACCTCAACTTAATATACGCAGAGCAATGGCATTTATTTCACATCCATGAGATTAAAATTGCCAGTTTATTAAATCATGTCTACTTAAGCAGCGACAATGAGGGTCAACTTCATCTCCTACCTGTGAGGCCGTGGACACACTCCACCTCAGCACTCAGGAGGTAGTAGCATCCCTGTCTCATCATGCATAAGATACCCCATCTAGGGGGCTGATAGCTCCTACTTCCAGGGAAGAGACCAGTTCTAGAGTGTAAATGTCCATGTGCTGGGTAGGGAGCCCTTTTGCTATGTTTCAGATTTCCCTCTGTGCCATGATTTGCTCTGCTGCTTGGGGAACCAACTTTGAGGGCGTATGTTGAATATTTCTGTGATTTCTCTGCCGTTGCAGGAGATGGAACCTCATATGCCTCTGTTTCGTCATATTCCATGGTACTTCTTATCTGGAGCCACGGTGACACTGTGGGTGAGCATTTCTTTAAAAATATTATCAGGCCGGGGATGTACCTCAGTGGCCCCATGCCTGACTGGCAAGCACAAGGTCCTGAGTTCAATCACTGGTACTGGAAAAAAAATTAAAAGAAAATTAAACAATATTAGCATCTCTGTAACAGGAAATCCATTCTGCAGGCTGAAGCAGCAGTTTCCTCGGGAGTGTCTCTGGTTCTCCCCTTCTCCTTCTCCTGGTCTTTTTACCTTATTACACTCTCATGTCAAATAAACTTGAATCGTGTGCATTTTCTATAATTTAACTTTGCGGAATGATCTAGAGTTACAGAGAGATATGTTATCTTATATCCTGTGCCTCCTCATCTCATAATACTTCTCTAATTAAGCTATAACTTGAAACCAGAATAGAATAGCAAACTTATTTTGATTGCAGATTCTGGTTAGGTTATCATTAATTTATCTTTATCTCCATCTACTTAAAGTATCTGCATGAATGAATACAACTCATACTGTTAAATTTCATCCTCTTGCTGAAATAAGCAGAAAATGTGTCTTCCATTTGAATTATTTAATTAACATCTTCTCTTGTGATGGAGTCTATTTTTCTCCAGGTCTTTTTCCTAAGTAGATTTCTGTATCGCCATAGTCTATTCCCTTTCCAAATTTGTGCCCTGGGCCTATACTTTTAAGAGAGAAACTATGTGACCTTCTAAGGAGTTAGTGTGTGGAAGTATAGATCATAGATCAATTAATAAAGCTTTTTCAAATGGGAAAGGGAGTAAGAGTAGGAGGGGGCAGGAGGGATGGGAGAAAGAGACAGAAAACGAATTTACATGTGGCATGTGCATGTACAAACTCCCAGCGATAAACATAGTCATCATATATTGCAAACAGGCACTAGTAAAATACAGCAATAGAAAATAAAATTAACTTTTAAAAATTAGCAGTTGTAGACTATAGTTTAACCCCTTTAGTGCATATACATGTTTTGCTTTTTACATTTCTTGCTAAAGTGATTGTTTTTCTATTTTAAAAACACTTGTAGAAGGGCCAGGGATTTAGCTCAGTGGCACCACACCTGCCTTGCAGACGCAAGGTTCTGAGTTTGATCCCCAGTACTGGAAAAAACCAAAAAACGAAAAAACCAAACCACTTGTAGAAATGTATTTTCTTAGATTACATAACAACCAAAGCGGAAACGTGAGAGAAGAAAGGAGGACAGTAACCAATTCAGGATACTCCATAGGAAAGAGTCCGGATTCTAGGCCCAGAAAGACTATTCCAATTTAGTTTCTAGTTCTTATTCAATCTGACTTCTTCGGCTTTTAGATTGAAATTCTCTAATTACTGATCTAAAAGCATCTTTGTGCTTTTGCCGTGTTGGGAATGCACAGAATTTATACAAAATCTATGGAACTATAAGAGGAGGATTCAGCTACTGTTCTGTAAAGAGGCCTCGTATAATTTTGGATTTATGGCCACATAAAGTTTCTGATACATAATCGTTTTTCTTTATAACCTTTAAAAATGCAACAAAAAAATTTAACTTGGAGGACACAGAAGGGCAGAGGAGACCATGGATAGGATTGAACCTTCTGGCTCTCTTTGCCAATCCCTGCTACAGGCTGAGTCATGAATACTCTTGCTCTCTTTATACTTAACCTCTTGCCAGCAAATGATTCATCTTCAACCCCTGTTACTTTGCCAGTGTTCCTTTCCCGCCATGTATTAATTTGTTAAATGACAAGCTCAGACTGACTCAGTTGACTTTGGATGCCAGAGCTGGTGAAGTTAATATATGATGAGAACAGTTTGTGCTGCTATCTGAATGCATCACAGAGATCCAGAGCCTGAGTGGCCGATTTGTTTTCTTTTCCCAGATGGCTCTTGTGGTCACCAGCATGGTGGCTGTGATTGTGTACCGCCTGTCAGTCTTCGCTGCATTTGCGAGCTTCATGGAAAGTGAAGCATCCTTACAGGAAGTCAAGAGGTTCTTCACTCCACAGTTAGCCACGTCGCTCACTGGATCCTGCTTGAACTTCATTGTCATCTTGATCTTGAATTTCTTTTATGAAAAAATATCTGCGTGGATTACAAAAATGGGTAAGCTAGCCAAATTTTGTGATCAGAAAGTGGGTTCTTATCACTGCAATACATCTACTAGGATCCCTTTCCACAGAGCTCATTTCCTAAATGCATATTTTAGACAGTTTTGCTCTCTAGGCAGAATCACACCTGATACCTCAGAACCCCCTAAGAGCCCTACGCAGGCCTACCCTAAAGGAAGTAGGAAGAAGAAGAAAAAAAAGAAAGCATTAGGACTCCTGAAGTCATTTTGAGTATTCCTGTCTTACTCTTTCTGTGGCAGATCTAGCTCTATCCTGAGTAAAATGGTGAATGCAATCAAGACACAGAGAATTTGATTTCATGTGAATGACTCTTAGGAGATATTTGGCTTTGGAACTCATCCTGAGAAAAACTGAACATCAAATCCTGCTAAAGAGATCTCAGTCAGTTCTTTGTTCTTCAACTGCTATCTCTTAGATCAGGAATCACTGACCTTTTAAGGTATTAGCATTTCTCCTGAAGCCAAGAGGGAAGGTAAAGGGAGTCACAAGCTAGGATGGGATTCAAGAATAACGCAGCGGAATTGCTTCTGTTCTTGTCCTGGGTGAGGCAGGGATGACATCAGAGGCTCGAGCCAAGGTTTCACATGTTCTTTGAGAGCAGGAGGACATGCTTTCCCCAGTCTGAGCACTAATACCAGGTCCTCTGTGGGCAGCAAGGGCGCTGTCTCCCCCAGCACCAGGTGAAACCCGTTAACCTTCCTTACAACCCATCTGCAAATTGGGAGTTTGATTTCAATTTTATTTTATTTTTTTTCCGCTAGCAAGAGCAAGAAAATTATAAAACATAAATTTTTAAACCACTTGAAATGGCAGAGCTTTCTTCAATGTGAAAAATCATTTGAATTCCTATTAGAGAATTTTTAGGAATGCAACAGGACTACGCTAAAACGGAGCCATTCTCTGTATTTTTAGAGTAAGTTTGTTGCTATTTCAGTATTTCTGAAAGTATCAAAGATTTGGCTGGGTCAGCTGTGGTCTTGGAAAATTATCCACTCAGAGAAACACATTCCCTTCCTCTTTTGTGCTTCATGTTGCTTCAGTGTGGTGTGAAGATAATTTAACATTTCCTTATCTTCAGAATTTGTTAAATCACAAATCGTGATCATGCGTTTTTAATAAACAAGGAAAATGTGTACTCTTTTTGCCACCATTTGCTGTCATATAATTTAATTCATGATAGGAAAGCCCAGTGCAATTGGAAATCATCTCTACCCGTGATGTAATTATACAGTTTAAACTTGATTGATAACAAAGGGTAAAAATTTGAAATATTTACGTGATCTCAGTTTCAGGGGATAATGTGGAGACTTTTGGGGGGATTTCAGTTCCAAATTCTGACTATGACCCCAAGAAAAGTATTTCATTATATAAATGTGACAATCCTGCTTTCTAGGCAATCTCAGTAACTAGACTTACACAAAGGATCAACAGAAACCCCAGGCAAACTCAGATATTCCACATTGCTCTTCTGATTAGAGTGAGGAGATTTCCGTAGACCTTCAGAATAATACTACTGGATGTCCCTTGTCCCCGTGAGAACAAAATTCAAGAAAAAACTGGGAAGTGCACTAAGCCTTGGTGTTTTTTACTTAACAGAACTCCCTCGAACTTACCAGGAATATGAGAGCAGTCTTACTTTGAAAATGTTCCTGTTTCAGTTTGTGAATTTTTACTCATCCTGCTTCTACGTAGCTTTCTTTAAAGGGAAGTTTGTGGGCTACCCTGGAAAATACACATATTTGTTTAATGTGTGGAGAAGTGAAGAGGTAAGAGTTCTCTTGAGAGCTGAGCTATGCGACTTCAATAGCTCATTACTAACTAGAACTTTCTTTGTGCCCAGCACTAACTCAGATGTTACCCAGTTGCAAGAGAAGTCTAGACAGCCAGTGTGCATGGACGAGTCTTTGCATCTGTTAGAATTTTTACTTCCTTTGTACAACGGTTTATAATGATGCCTGTGGTCTGGTAGTGAACCATCAAGTGTCAAATCAGTAATCTTCATTCCCAATGGCTTCCTACAAAGGATTCTTGATCACTTTCTGGAAAAAAGCCTTCACTCTGAACTACAGCGTTAGACAGTCAGTGGTTTCCAATCCTGGTTGCACATCCGGTTTACATGGAGAATGTCCTGACCCTTGACCTCCACCACAAAGAGTCGGTACTGTGTCAGACTTAGACCCCTTAGAGAAGTCTGCAGGTGAATCTAGTGTGGTTAGCCTGGCCCTGATCTAAGATTATGCTTGGAACTATTTGGCCAAATATCTCTTTAATCCCTTTACTATACTCCCCCCAACTAAAATCTTAAATATTAAAGTAATGCTTTAGAGTTTCTTTTAGTTGCCAAATTCCATCTTCCATCATTTACTTTTCTCCCCTCTTTGCTTCCAACTAGTGTGATCCTGGAGGCTGTTTAGTGGAACTGACCACCCAGCTAACCATCATAATGATTGGGAAACAGATTTTCACAAACATTAAGGAAGCAATTTATCCGTATGTATGGCTTACAAGTGTTTTGCTTTTTTTGATTTAAGTAACCAGAAGGCATTTCCTTGGAAGAGGATGAAATTTGCTTTATCTTGGTGCCTTTGTTACTAAATGTTTTAGGCAACGAAAATCTTCTTAATCAACAGTGAAAGATGCGCTAAGATTACATAGGCTTTTGATCGATTAATTAACCAATTATTCAAATCCATGGTTAGCAAAGTCTTAAATTGTATTTTATTTTTAATTGAATGTAACTATGGAGTACAATGTTATGTGTTCTATGTGGGGTCTATTTTTCGCTTGAAATTGAGAAAAAAATAGTTATCTCTGTCTTCTACAAACATTTGACAAGAAAATCTAAATGTAATACACTCTGTAGATTATTCTACATGCTGAATTGTGTTTCATAATGTTACTAAAAGTTGAACTTTTAAAAATATCTTGTGATGTCGTCTAGAGATGCAGATTGGCTGTAAATAAAACACTGGAGAATTTTCAGTGTGAAAGGACTCCTCTCTGATCCAAAAACAAAGCAATCATGAATACATTATAAAAAGACAAACTAAAATGATAGTTAATCTCAAATATTAGGTGAACTCTTTCTAATAGATGAATGAAAAGAAAGGAATTATATAACCGTAATTGTACGGTCCTGCAGAGCTCTTAGGAATGACAATAGCAGGGTTTGGCACCTGCAGAATAAAGTAGGCTAAAAATGTCCCACTGAAGACAGGGGACTGCCTTGAAGCTGGGCACTGGGTTTGTTCTCTTATTTATGAGAAAATGTTGAGAATGTTCTCCCTGCACCCCTAACAATGCACACAGCTTTGTAGCGCTGTTAGATTCTGCTTCATGAGCTGACGCCAGATAAACATGGACTTATTTTTACAGTGAAAGGTGTCAGCCAAGCCTCCTTCCAGTTTCTTGATTGGATGTAAGGAAAATAATTCCAAACTTTTATTGGTAACTCTTAGCTCTAGATTGAGAAACCTGAGAACCGAATGGAGGCGTCCTCTAAACCAAATAGAAGAGGGGGATAAATATGCAGAGAAGGAGAGAGACAGGGGAGGTAAACTAAGGGGTTTTTTTGGTACTGGGGATCAAACTCGGGACCTTGTGCTTGCGAGGCAGGCGCTGGAATAATTTTTTTAAATAACCAAAATTTAAAAAAGAAAATCCTGAACCTGTATACAAACCAAATTTGCAAAATACTTATGACAGTTAATTGTATAGAGACTTAACAAAACTGCCTTTTAGAAAGGGAGATAGTCTAGATGATTATTTTAACTAGATGATTCTGGCAAAGCCCATAAACATCATGTAATTATATTAAAAACAAAAGGGGAAGTGATACTGTCTTTAAAAAGGATCAGGAAATAATTAAATAAAATGTAGCAGACATGAAATAAAAAACTATCTGTGAGGGAATTGGTTATATATAAATAAAAATATTGCTTTAAATACTAAGTACAATAGATGAGACAATTCCAAAGTATAAGTCCAGACTAGACACAGTTTAAGAATGAGTAAGTAAGCCAGGCATAGTGGCACATAAGTGTAATTACAGCCCTTTGGGAGCTGAGGTAAGAGGATTATGAATTCAAGGCCAATCTGGGCTACATAGTGAGTTTGAGGCAACTCCGTACTACATATTCAGTTCAGGGCCAGCCTGCAATCTAGCAAGACCATTGACTCAAAAAAGAAAACAAACAAAAAGCTAGTGAATTTGAAAATGTTACAAAGTTATCCCTATGTTGTATAGTACAAGATGAGGTTTTTAAAAAATTAAAGGGTAGAGGTTGCGGCTTAATAGTAGAGCATCTGCCTAATATGCAAAATTCCCTAGGCTCAATCACAAGTACTGAAAAATAATCAATAATAGTAAATTTAAGAATTAAATCCAAGGGTCCAGGGATTTAGCTCAGTGGTTTCGCTGCCTGCTCCAATACCAAAAAAAAAAAAAAAAAAAAAAAAAAATTAAATCCACAATAAGATAGATCAGATACATTGTTTAAAAAATACCTGTAAGCTTCAGAAAAAGATAGTTGAGAAAATCCTGGAGGGGAAAGATTTTTTGAACAGGTAATTGCTGAATGTGTTTCAAGAGTTTGAGAAAGAGAAATACATTCTAGGACTGATGTAAGATAAATAGAATTCATTCTCTTATTCGTATGGTGAAACTATAGAACATTAAAGGAAAACAGAATCTTAAAATCTGTCAGAAGATGTACTACCTACAAAAGTATGTGATTTTACTATCAACAGGTTTCTCATCAGTAGCATTAGATGTTAGAAGACAGTATTTTCAAGATTCTGGGTGAAAATGTTTGTCTTAGCTATCAAGGTCCAGGGCAATTATTACTGAACATGTAGGTGGGATAGACATTTTTAGAGATAGAAACGCTAACAGTTTTTATTCATTGACCATCACAGCATAATCTACTGGAAGTTGTATTTGAGTAAAAAGAGGTCACAGTGAAAGTGTGCAATGCAGGAAATATGGGTCAACACACAACTCGTTAGCTCCAATAAGTTGTAACACTTTGGTAGTAATCTAAGAGTCATACAGAATTTATATGGTGAAAACTACAAAATGCCAAAGAAAGAAAGAAAGAAAAAACTATACAAAGAGCAATATATGCTCATGGATTGGAAGACACAGTATAGCAAAGATGTCTATTATCCTTAAGTTGACTTACAGATTTACAGTTATTTCATCAACATAGCAATAGGGGTTTTGTAGACATACACAAATGCATTCTATCACGTCTTTGGGAGGCAAAGAACTGGATCAGCCAAAGTACTGCTCTAGAAAAGTAAAGCTGGACGAAGTTCTGGATAAGATGGTAGATAGAAGTATCTTTTCTATAACTCTGTATTAGAAGAATACAAAGTTAGAAAAAAATTACATTCCTCGGAGAGAGAGACAGAGTTCTTAAAATAAAGAGATGGCAGGAAAGCTAAAAGCGTGTACAAAGAGAAAGGCAAGGCAGAGAATAATACGAAACTGTCCACAATGCCAGCCGAGGCTCCTAAGGTGGAGGGGATCCGAGGTAACTCAAAGAGGGCAGCAGCCCCGGTGGGAAACAACTGAGCATCAGCCCCAGCCGCAGGAGAAACCCGTGGTTATCACCAAGCCCACTGCGGGAATTCGCCCGAGAGTGACTCCTGGTGGCATCCACCTGTGGTGAGGCAATCCCCTGCGGCACTTGCCGTGTCTCGTCTTGGAAAGCTACAACCAGGAATCGATTTACCGTGGGCGTTACTGTTTGGAACTGAGCGGCTCTGGGGACCAGAGGTCACACTTTCGGGAGCAGCCACACCTGGGGGTGCCTGAGCAGGCCCGCCACGTGCGTGGGTGAAGTGAGGGAAAGGCTGAGCTCCAGGCAGACGCTCTGAGAAGGGGAAGTGGCGAAGAGCTCGGCGTGCTCTACGGCGGTGCGCAGCTCTGTGCGCAGTGGGGAGGAGACAGCCCTGCGGAGTGTGGTCTTCTGACGGGGCTGGATCCGGAAGGACGCATCTGGTCAGCGCCCCCGTCAGGCGCGAAACACGGCGGTCTGTTTTCTCCTGCCGCTCCCTGAAGCGTTGGGGATGCGGACGCTGGTCACAGGCCTGCAGAGCGGGGAGCCCGGCTCTGACCGCCGCGTGCCACTGCCACGGCCGCGTTTGGAGTCGGCCGCAACTCCGGCTCCCAGAGCCGGACTGTTACAAAGTCATCGTAACAGAAGCAGCGTGGCACTGGCCTAAAACAGATATGTAGAACAGTGTGTCTGAGTAAGTATAGGTCAGTGAGAATAGTCAGTTGTCTTGTTTTCTTCATCACCCAGATAAGGAGCATGTGTGATGAAATGAACGCTAGATTTTGAGATGGACTTTAGTTCAAGTCATGTATCCTCTTGTTGTTTGATCTTAAGTTATTTATCTTTCTGTGGTGTCATTTCAGATCTAACACGTGAATTTCCTGACTTCTTTCTGTCTAGCTCTCTTTCATGTGTTTGCTTTTATCACTTCCGACAGCTTGGTTTTGAATTGGTGGAGACGTAGAAAGGCCCGGACCAACTCTGAGAAACTGTACAGTCGTTGGGAGCAGGATCATGACCTTCAGTGTTTTGGACAACTTGGGTTATTCTATGAATACTTAGAAACAGGTAAATTTCAACAGATGTTATGAAGTGTAGAGCCAACCTGAATAAAATAAATGTACTTTTCATCTTAACATTTCTTTCTGCCATGCACACAGTAGATGCCTGAAATTGGATGGTGGGTAAAAGGATGAATGAATGGAGATCAAGAGAATGATTCATAATTTCCCTGTCCCAGTAAAAAGAATGAAGAATAGTTTACTTTCAAAACACCAACCTTAGGAATATTTTTCTTATCAATAGAATATCAATATTGTTGAACCAAATCCAGTAAAAATGATATTTTAACTTCTTTCTCTAAGATGTTTTAATGACCATTTTTTCTTTTATCTGCTTCAGTGACTACTTGGAAAGAAAATAAATTAGAAAACATTTCCAAAGCCTGAAATCATTTAGTGTATACCCTTTAGGTTTGGCTGAAAAGAAAGTAGCTAATGCAGTTAGGTAAGGTAGACCCAGGCTAAAAATAAGAAATGCATAAAGTATTCCAAGCACTGAACAGGGAAAACATGTTGAGGTGAAATTTTAGGAGAGATCATTCTGGTGACTGCTCTTAAAATATACTCACAGAATTCACACTCAAGTCACTTTACTTCTCCAGTGGAGCTACAGAGAGCAAATTTTCTTCACTCAGATCTCCTAATATCACAGTGAAATGAACGCAATGATCCAAAAACTGATTCTTTAGTATAATACATGAATGTCGTACTTCAAATGGAAATTGGTATATTTAGTAAGTCTGGTTTATACAGATGCATAAAACATCTACTTTGTAGGGCAGTAAGTCTATAATTTTTATTAGTTGTATAATTTTTAAATAAGTCAGTGCATACATGCATCAGGTACTAGTATTGAAATTATAAGAGGAAATGAAGGTTTTCATAACAAGATTAACTAACATTTTATGAGAAACAGCTAAGAGTAAATTTGTCCTGGCAACTTTCCTACATTATCTCTAATCTTGAAATAATTGTTTAGAGTAGTCATTACTTGGTATATTTTATTTTTGAGGACGCTGAAAGTTGGATAGTCCAATAATTTTCTATGAGCCACAGAGATTCTAGCTAGAGAGCTGAGATTTGAACCCCTAATTTATGCTGCCTCTACCTGATGTCTCCTCTTTGTTTTATATTTGTTCAGTGAGGAGAGAAAAGAGTATGTGTTTGTGCACTTAATAACAAGACTGATGCAATCTCGCAATAAAGCTGAAGTCCAAAGATACTGAAGATCCACTTAAAAATAGAAGAGCAGTGACAATGATCTTTTTTCCTTACTGGAAAGCCATTTCTATGTCCTGTTTTTCCTTGGCTCGTGTGGACAGTCCAGGCTGTCAGTTGCCTGGGTTCCCTTAGTCTAAGCATTGTTAGAATCAAAGAACAAAAATGAGAAGTCAGCTTGCAACCCCCAGCTAAGTCTCATGAGGTGAAAGAGAACAACTTATTTAGAAAGATGTCAAGGACGTGTAAAATATTAGGGCCTTAACAAATACCTTATTCCATAAAATCTGTATTTTATTTCCTTTAATTTATTGTTAGCATATGCTTGTAATGCATAATGAATACACTCACCAAGGGGCGCTGTGACTTATCCATGTCACATCTCGATCACGTCCACGTCCCCTTCCACTGCCTTCCTCAACTTCCCCGTCCTCAGATACCCTCCCCATCTGCACAAAGTCTGCCTCTCCGTTTCGTTTCCCACCATCTTGCTTATATTTTGCTGTCTAAGTTATTTATGCTTTGTCCTTCCTCCATCCCACTCTAAAAACTAAACAAATCACTGCCTCCTTTGTTGGGAGGCAGACAGAAAGAAATCTGAATGATGCGACAGTATCGATCCCTTCCAAAGAAAGAAGTAGTAGGAGTGAGCAGAATGTTCCCCGTCCCCTCCCTCCACGATTATAATTTTGTTTTTCTTGTTCTCTCCGCAGTGATCCAGTTTGGCTTTGTCACACTCTTTGTGGCCTCTTTCCCGCTGGCCCCTCTTTTCGCCCTCATAAATAACATTGTGGAGATTCGCGTGGATGCCTGGAAACTCACCACTCAGTACCGGAGACCCGTGGCCGCTAAAGCGCACAGCATCGGCGTCTGGCAGGACATCCTCGCCGGCATGGCGGTGCTTTCTGTCGCAACCAATGTGAGTAGCCTGTCTCCCTGGAGCCAATTTGCTTTTTATTCACTTCCTTGAGAACAGAGACACACAAATGATGCTTAGCTCATTCTTTATGTATATGTATTCCCTCATGGAGATAGACCATAAATATAAAACATCCTAAACTTTTATGCACTGAGAAATAAAGAAATCTATGACATGCAAACTCTTGAAAATACAAGAAAAATTATAAAAACATTTATTTAAATTTCACAATAGTTTTTTACTATGTGACCAATTAGATAAAAATAAATAATGATTTAAGATATTTGAAAGCTGGGGATTTAGCTCAGGGGTGCCGCCGCCTGCCTCGCAAGCACAAGGTCCTGAGTTCAATCCCCGGTACGAAAAAATAAAGCAAAAAAAATAAATAAAATAAGATATTTGAATAATCCAGTTGAAGATTGATGATGCATGCATTTGTAGGTCACAATCAGAGAACGAACATTTACTTATGTCTACAGTGCATTTACATAAAAATAGTAAGTATCCCAAATTCTCAAAACTACAAATCTTACACTGCATACTCATCTACAACTGTGCTTTAAATATTAAATTTAATGAGATAATCAAAGGAGAAAGTGCAACTATTTAACACTTATAGTACTTCATCAAGAAGAAATAAAATTGAAATTATAGGCAGAGCTTATAAAGTGAGAACCTATGTGAAAGGATCACCGAAGAAGGGGGCACACACGGGCGTCGAGCAGCAAGCCTTTACTGGGGACGGCAGTCTGCAGCCTGCCAGGACTGACTCACAGGAGGGAGATCAGCCCCAGTACGGGCTGAACGGGAGGGGGGGGGGGTTGTATATGGGATCTTGCAGGTGGGAGAGCACTAGTCCATCGGTGGGGGGTGGGTAATTGGGGCTGGGTGTGCAGCAACAGGTTTCCATTGAGGAATGGAGTAATGGTTTTCGGGAAGCCCCTATCTTAACTGGAACACCTGACCACAAAACCGGTGGGGCGGAAAGACCTTAACTAGGCAGAGAGTCACTAACAAAGGGAAGTCAGGCTTTAGTTATGCGGAAGCTCCCTGTTCCCCGTGGCCAGAGTGGGGCTGGGGGAAAGGAGAGGAGGGGGCTTGCTCTGTGGGGCTCTGAAGCATCTAACACTATATGAATGAGCAGAACGGTAATTACAGAAAAATCCACAGTTATAAAAATGCTTTTATTTGAGAAGGAAACGGAGAGTGGGGAGAATACTGGAAATCATGAGCTGAGCAGTGATTTAAACACAAAGAAAATATGTAAAACATATTAGTAGAAAGCAGTGAAAAGAATAAAAATCGTAAGTCAAATTAAAAAAAAAACAATAATACAATTGCTAAGTAAGTCAAGAGTTGCTTTGTTGAAAAGACATAAAACAAGCAAAACCCTGAAAGACTATGAAAGGCTGCTATGTACTCCTTTATTTTAAAAAATTAATCTACTTGAAATTAGCACTTTTATAGAAAATAAAAACTCCAGATTTATTCAGTAAGGAATAGTTAATTGGAATGGATAGCAGCCATAAAAATAATAATGAATTTACAAATTTTACCACTAAAAATAAGGACGGCAGAACCAGAAAGTTTACAGTTTATTCATCTATTCTAAAAGAAATGTGCTATTTACACAATTTCAGAGCTCAAGAAAGCATTGGAAAATACTGTCCTCGTGGAGTCAGACTGTAGTGGACTGTGGAAAGTTTTCAGTAGGTGGACTTTATCTCTCCACTGTCTCCCCTCAACACACTCTAGCACACCCATAGCTTGTGGAGTTGGTCCAGTGAAGAAAATTCAATGCACAATAATAGAACTGTAAAATGACACACATAGAAAAGTAAGAGATAGTGAGGAAAAGGCAAGAGCTTTGTCAGAGACAGAAATATTTAGTTTTAATTCTCAATTTAGCCACTTTGTAGCTATGAAATCTCGGAATATTTATTCAATATCATAAATGAGCTGTTTTAGGTTGTAGAGCAAAGAGGGGCGTATTGCTATGATTAATAACAGTGTTTTAGTCATTTTGTACCTATAAGACTCGTGACACTGAAGGTTACGCAGATCCCATGTCTTACAGCTCTTTCTCTGCCTCTTGCTCCGTCATTCAGGCTTTTATTGTTGCCTTTACATCGGACATCATCCCCCGTTTGGTTTACTACTATGCCTACTCTACAAATACCACACAGCCTTTGAGTGGCTATGTCAATAACAGTCTGTCAATATTCCTGACAGCAGATTTCCCAAACCACACTGTACCTTTGGATAAACGAGACTTCACCACTTGCAGGTATGCTTTTTGTCTAGAATTTAATTTTGCCATGTAAGCATATTTCTTAAGTTATTCAGTTCTTTCATGTCTTATAATGGCAGGGATTTACTTCAGGCAACAAAAATCCTGAATAAATAGTGTGATTCAATTACAGATTTCACATATTGCATCATTCTGATTTGGAATGGAGCAATGTACAAAAGAAGAGACTATTATAGGTAATGACCATGTTGATTTTGCAGTATCTTATTTTTTATGTTTTTCAAAAAGTTTCCTTACCAAAAAATCCCTCTTGGTCTCAAGTTGTAATATCTATGTGTCATACACCATGATCATATTATATGTGGGTTACTTGAATTTAACTATTCATTCTTAGAATAGAATGAGGAAAAACCAATAATATACCATTCACCAGGTATCCTATTTAAAGGTGGATTTTTTTCTATATAGGGAATATGAAGTCAGATTGTGTGAACTGCTGTTTCAATACTCTGTATCTCATGAAGATCTTTATACTATGGAATTTTAAAATGATACATAGGTAGTCACCAAGGTCACTTAAATCTTAAATCAAGTGCTTGCTTCCTTTAGGATGCCAATAAAAAATGATAAAGTTATAAGACAAGCAGATAAAAATATTGTTATATTCTATATTTAAATATAAAAGATTCATAGCATAATGATTGAGCATAAGCATTAATGTCAGATTTATTGATTACATCATTTTCTAGTGAGACTCAGTCTGAGTATCAGTATCTAGGGACTTTATAGAAAAGAATGAGCTTACAAAGTTAGTGTCAAGAAAAGTCTAGAAAAATAATAAGAAAAATAGAGTAATGCAGTGGCAATCCTTCCAAGAGAAAATAGAGGTAAAGAAAATAAAAATGGTTGACAATACCACTTCTATTCTGGAAAAGTCAAACAGGATAAGGGTTAAAATGTTCCTTCCATTTAATGATGGATGATAATCATTTTGGGCAGAGAGATGAATAGAACTAAGTGTCTTGAGGATTAGAAGAAAGGAAATGGAAGACTGAAAAGCTTTATAACTCATATGAGAAGTTTCTCTTTGAAAGACAAGAGAGAAGTTTCACTTATCATTTCCTGTTAGAGATAAACTGCATGCAAGTGTCATGTGGCCCTGATTGTATATGAAGAAGAAAATGTTCTGCATTTTCCATTGTCTTCATATGACCTGGTTTTTGAGATCAATGAATAATGAGGCTTTAGGCCTAGTCTCTCTAGTTGAAGCTATGGCTAATTTTTTATATTTATTTCCATTTTTCCAGGTACAGAGATTACAGAAATCCTCCTGGGGATGAGAATAAGTACCTTCATAATATGCAGTTTTGGCATGTCCTTGCTGCCAAGATGACATTCATCATAATTATGGAAGTAAGTGTTCTTAACTTTTATTCCAGTTACTCTCTCCTCTCTCTTTAGATACCTTTGTAAAGGTACTTGTAAATCAGGAAAAAGTTAGCATTATCTCAATAAGTTGTTTTGATGGAATTATTTGTTGTGATGAAAAGTGATTTAGGGACTTTTTCGATGCAATGGTGCTACCTATTATTTATTTACTATTGACCATGGTGACAGAAAAGGAAAAGAAAAATGTAGCCTTCTAGCTCAAGGTCAAGAAAAGGGAAGAGAGTCCATTGTTTTGCAAAAAAAGCCTATTATGTTCTGGTTCCAGCAGCTATTTTAAGTCTTAAAAAACTTGTAAGGTAGACTTCATTATTTAAGCATTGAAACAGCAGTTTACCCATTGTATCTCATACTCAGCAATCATCATCAGTTGGTTTAAGTCTAATAGCTGATATTAGAGGGACATTTCAATGACAGACACTAAAGGTGATTAAAATATATAGTGAATGTTTAAATAAAATGTATCATGGTTGTCATCAATCCTCCTGAAAACACTCCCCCTTCCTTTGAACGCACTTATTCCATCATTCTTGCCACTTTTTAAAGCAGTTCTGGAAGTCCTCTTTCATGAGTCTCTTTACAAGGTGTGATCACAGATGCTGTGAATGCTGCTAAAGCTTCGTCTAATGGAAAGGCAGGCTTGGAAAAATAGTACGGTGCTTCCTCATCCAGTGTATTCACTGCCTCCAGCACTGTGTGACTTCTGGCTCATCCTCAGTCAAAATGACCGTGAAAGGGAGAGATTTTGAATTGATTCAGGACATGGAAGCAGCCGTGACAGAGCAGCTAAAGACACTCATGAGAGAGGACTTCCAGAATTGCTTCAGAAAGTGGTAAGAACCAGAATATAAGTGTTTGTTAAGTGAAGGGGAGTATTTTGAGGTGGATTAATGGAGATGTGTCTTTTGCTGTGATTTTTGAAAATGTGAACAATCACCACATGTTCCAATCACAGCATGTGTGTCACCCTCCCAAGCCCAGCTGTCCACTGCCTTCTGCCTCCTAGCTTGTGGACTCTCTAGTGTAATTGTGGAGAACAGGCGTGGAAGAAAATGTAACCAAAGCAAAGGTGGTATTGACAAACTTACAAATTGGTTGCTACAAATTATGATACAGGAAGAACAATAAGGGAGAGAGAAATAAAAATAAAACAACTTTTCATGAGCAAAGGAAAGCCCAATGCAGTAATAATTAAAAGTTCTAGCCTTGGCCCATGCAGCCCCAGTCTGGTACTGTTGTTGAATTTGTTTTATTATTATCAAAGTTAAACTTGTACATTAAAAAATTAAATAGTCCTACATGTCTAAAAAGAGAGTAGTTCTATACATTTCTCCATATTCTCAAATCCTTATCTCCAAAGGTAAACATTTCAACTCTTAAAACTAATTTTTCTTATAGCTTAGTCTGGCTAAAAACATCTCCATGAAGTATTTTTAGATATTAGTTGTAGATTTCCTTAGTTTTAGATATTAATTATTCACCTCATTTTTCAGTTTCAGATATTAATTTTTAATTTTCTACTATGGTAGATCTTACACATTATACCCACATATATACACAAACACACATCCATATATATATATATACACATACATATATACATATATATATATACATATATATATACACATATATATATATATACACACACACACGGAGAAATATATCTTTCTCTTACCTCTCAACATAATGGCAGCATAAGTTTTTGCTTATACAAGCCATAATTTTTTATTCTGAAAACCAGTATCTCAAAGAACAGTATTTTAGTAACTTATTAGGTGTCTCTACCTGATCTAATCTGATTTAAGACTATGGATTGATTTGTTTATTCCCTTTAGAGTGAGTTGTCATTTATTTTGCTGTAGAAATATTCAGGTGCTTGATACAGAGCCACCACCATGTGTATTATTAATACTCAATCACTCTCAACTCTGAAATATTTCTTTTCACCATCAGAGTTTAAAATACGGGATTAGAGATGAGAATCGATAGTCAAAGTGTATGTTATGACTATAAATAATTAGAAATCACATCTGTTTCATGTGTTCTATTCTGAATGCATTTCCCACATTATAATCTGGTTTTCCCTTCTCTCTTCCCCTCTCCCTCTACAGCCCTTAGTTCTTTATGAATTCGTCACTCATTACCATGTTTTTCTATGGGAAATTGAGGTTGTCTTTCAGTTTAGTAAACACATCAGAAATCTTTTCTGGTTTACTAGCCTCTGTTGAAGTACATCTTTCGGTAATTTTCTCTGGAAAAATTATGTACAGTCAAGTTTTGAGGTCTTCAATATTGAACTTTTTCTTACATGTAATTGTTATAGAACTGAACCCTAAAAGATGTTTTCCCTTAAAAAAGTCAATCAAATTCATGTAGGTATAGTTGAATTTTTTTAATGCTTTACTCCATTTACTTGCAGTTTGTGGAGTTGTAAAATGCAGGTCCAGTTCAATCTCCCAGTCTCTGTTTATGATCTTTTTTCTTTTAAGCTCCTTGAACTTTGACAATTCTCTCACTAGTCTTGCTTTTATGAAAGTTCCTTGCTATTTGACAAAATAGTCATTTTGGATAATCCCTGAAACCCTTATATATGAAAACATTCGTACTTTTCAAATTGAGAAAATTGGTTTGAATTATTTATTTGATAAATGCCCCCATCTTTGTTCTAACTCTCTGTTCTAACTTCTATTATCCAGATAATACACTTCCTCTTGTGAAATTCTAATTACTATTAATTTTCTCTTCTTTATAAAGAGATAGATTCAAATGCTTATTTTTCATTTTAAAATAAAATATATAAAAATAATGCAATATAAAAATAATTATATTTTTTGGTTCTTTATCTCTCCTCTTTCTTCTTGTTTTGTATATTCATGTCAGAGAATTCATTGCATAGTTGCTAGTTCTGCTCATCCTTAAATGTAAGGCAGTGAAAAGCTGACTGTAGGCTTCCTGTGAGTACTGGAAGGTGTTTCTTTGATGAGTTTCAACACCTTCTCATTGGAGACCTGTGGAATGTTGGTACCTATATTTCTTCTTCCACAAGCGGGTTATTTTATCCAAGGGAAAATCCTCTAACCTCTTGTCTGTTGATGATTTCCTGGCTGTCCGTGCTTTGAGGGCTGAGGAAGGTGAGTGAACCTGGGTCCCAGCAATTCACTGTGCTGAACTGCATGTTTTAAACACGTCTGTTTTCAGTACATGCCCACCTCTATCCTCATCTGTGTGGTATCTAAGTGTGCAGCTTTCTGGCGTAAAAATACAGTCTTCCCTTGCTGCTTGGGCGGGATTTCAGGAGAGACCTCAAACCTGGGCACAGATGGGGAGGGGTCCTGATGATTTTATTGTTTCTCATGCAAGTTTAAACTAGTGCTCTTCTTTCCAAGTCCACCCTAAACTAATGCCTTCAAAAGTCCTTGCTGCCGAAGTTCCTGAATTCTTCTGAGGTTCTAAAACTGTTTTCGTCTTTTTAGTTTCCACTATCAACCACTGTATCACCAACTATAAGATTAACTGGTAATTTCTTTCCCATCAGTCCAATTCATATACAAATATTTTATTAGGCTTTTGAGAGGGATCACAGATAAAGAGTATATTCAATAACCATGTTCAATTGGAATTTAATGAGATATTTAAGTCATTGGATGACAGTGTGTGTATGAAAATTGTAGGGCACGGGTAATATAGCTTCTTGGTTATCCTTGAACTTTCTGTTCTAAAAAACGAGTGAAAAGATTTGCAAGCACTTCTTGCTGAACTTTTTGACAGGTCTAATAGTGTCTGTTATATTTCTTTATATTCCCTCTAGCACATTGTGTTTCTTGTCAAATTTTTGTTGGCCTGGATGATCCCTGATGTTCCGAAAGACGTTGTGGACAGAATCAAACGGGAAAAGCTAATGACTGTCAGGATTCTTCATGATTTTGAACTCAACAAACTAAAAGAGAAATTGGGACTTAATCCTAATGAATTTTCCAAGCATGTCATGATTGAGGAAAACAAAATGCAGCTGGCTAAATCCACAATTTAATCAGCATAACGGAGGAACAGCTGGTTGCCCTCTCGGGTTAGGGCCGGAGGCCAGAAGCCATGTGTCAATCTACCTTTTCTCTTAGCTTTAACTCAAAGTTTTTATATACTTTTAAGAGGCCAACTTTGTGTTGTGGGAGGAGTACCACTGTTTACATCATATGCTGGGCCCTTCCCAGATATTCTTTCCCAGGATCCTGTAAAGGACTGTTGGAAATCCACGTGGAATTGCAATACAGGAGGTCATGCAGTGTTGGGGTTGAGAAGGAAACTTGAACTTGAATTGTGTCCCCATTTTCCAGGGCATCTGCACATTTTATGTTCTTTCATTGTGTTGCTTCTCTCTCCCTCTCATGAAGAAAAATGTTCAAGGGAGAGAGCAATGAGGCCTTCTGAGTCACATAAACCCTGCTATTTTAACTTATGCAAATGAAAGACCAAAATCATATAACATAAGAAAACTCACACATTAAACCGTGTTGGGTAAATAGCATAGCAGGAGTTTATTCTTGAAATTGTCTGGTACAAGTTAAACTTTTAGCAGAATCGGAGATACTCTTGAAGAGTCTAAATGTTTGAGTTTCAACAAAAGAGTAACATCAAGATTGATAAAGATAGCATGCTGGCAACAGTATTTTCAAGATTTGTGGTTATCTGTGGAAAATACTATTGTGAAGGAATTAGACTACTGCAGGTCTTCAAGAAAATGGAAAGTATTATATAGAAGTAAATGTATTTTCTTAGTTAAGAATGCAAGACAATACATCTTGATTAATTTATTCACTTTAAAAAGTTGTTGAGTTTTTGAAAATTATTTTTTCTGTACTGTCTATTTTGTATCATGAAGCCCTTTTGAGTAAGTTAGATACAAGTTCTGTATGAAATTTGATCTCTTTGCTTTGAAGAGATTCCACATCTTTGAATAAGTTTACAGCCTCTTCATATTGATGCATCTCCTTATCCAATGCTCAGTGCCTTCTTCTATGCCTGTGACACATGAGAAATGGTAGTCTTGGCCATTAGTTCAACAAGATGTAACATGTCAAATACTAGAGAAACTGATGGTGTAAAAACCACTACAGTTTAGCCCTGAAAACTCAACCAAGTAACAAAAAAGATGATGAACTTGATAGTTAACTGAAAAATATATTTTTTGAATTATTCCTCTCAAATTTAAGCCTACAGACATGTACAATTAATTCGTGTTCCTTTTTCACTTATAAAAAATTATATAGGGCTGGGGATTTAGCTCAGTGGTTCGGCTGCCTGCCTCGCAAGTGCAAGGTCCCAAGTTTGATCCCCAGTACCAAAAAAAAAAGTTGTGGGCCGGGGATTTAGCTCAGTGGTTTTGCCGCCTGCTGCGCAAGCACAAGTGCCCGAGTGCAATCCCCGGTACCAAAATAAATAAATAAATAAAAAATAAAACATAATAGTAAATTATATATATATTCTCACTGGAGTGAGAGATACCATCCAATTGTAAAGTGTTTGAATCCAAAATTTCAAATTGGATTTTAATTCCAAAGGAAAAGCCAATGGGCTCTTTTATCACACACATCCAAAGAAATTTTATAACAAGTTTTTTAAGCTGGTATTTCTTTATCTAACCCTAATAAATTTTATGGAACTACTGGTACTTAATATATGGCAAACAGTATTAACTACTGATCAATATTAAATATTTAGAACTAAGGATGATTTATTTTACAAAACCTTGAGACACTTACCCCAATATTGTCAGTACTGATTTGCCAAGTACTGCTTAGATTTTATGAGAATTTTTCAAAGATGAAATGATCTGCTAATGGAAGTAGGATTTCATATACATAGAAGATGTGTTCTTGCTAGTGAAACCAGTCAGTTGCCATGGACTAATCCCCATTAATCTCAGCATTACTGGGCTGAGAAATCAAACTCGGTGTAATGACGACATTGCCCCTTATACACAGCTCATTTTGCTTCTGCCTTGGTACTAATAAAAATAAGGAAGAACAGGAAATATGTTTTCTTGGATGTACACATTAATTTATATGGTTCAAAAGTATGTATAGAGCTGTATTGCAAAATAAAAACAAATTTAACTCAGAGTTATTTGTACAGTAAAATTTACAACAAGCCAAGTGTTAGGTTTCTAGACCATATAGAGAAACTAGCAAAGGAGGAAATTATTTTTAAGATAAATAGGTGATTCTTATGATTGATTGGTAATATCCTTTTAGGATGTCCTTGACAAATACTCTTATTCACCTTGTGATTTCCTATTGAGAGCTTCTCCATGTTTTGTCAATTATGCAGTGAAACGCTGGCATTATCTTTTTGAAAGTATTCTAACCATAATCAGGAACCAGATTTAGGTAGATAGATTTGTCTCATCTAATAAAACCAATTGGTTATTATGGGAGGACTCAGTGATGAGCATCTGGCCATCAGATGCCTGTCATTACCAGCCTGGTGATCGTTTTTCTCCTCCAATCCAAACCATAGTTGTTGTTTTTTCCCAGGAATGTTCTAGGGAACATTCGAGATCTTGTGTGACAAAATTTTAAGTGCCAAAACCAAAGGAACACATTACTTTTTTCAGATATCTTCTCTCGTCCTTGTGCTCATCAACTTTGTTTGTACACAAGAGGCAGAACCATTTAAATTGTTTTAGAGAGATCCATCCAGAAAAGACTGCTGTAATTAAGTAGAATGTTGTCTTCATTCTGTTTCATCTCGTGATGTGGCTTTAATGATCTTTGAGTCAAGCTAATGCAAGCTACCAAAAAGAAAAGGGGAATTAAAGGGGGAGAGAAGTGCCATGCTGGGGGTGGTACACACTGTGTGGGAAGTACCATGTCTCCTCCACTGGCCGGCTAGTGAGGGTGAGAGAAAAGCCAGACAGATTTCAAGCTGAGAACAAGAATGTGTCAAAAATAAAACTTTCATTCCCAAGTGATTTTGTAATTTCAGATACAATTAATAGCCGTGGATCTCTGTTGATAGACTCCAGTTAAAGGTAAAGAATTTGTACTGTTTATTCAATAGGAAATCTAAAGTTTTGAAAGAAGGACTTTCATACTTGTTTTAACCAGTAATAATTATGATGCAGTTGAAGGATGTTATTAAGGAAGACAGCATTGCAAGAAATACTAATGCCCAAGCTTAGACATCTACCAGAAGGAATCACTGTGACTATTGTGTTATTCTTTTTCTAAACAAATTTTTCCTACTCAACTTTTATGCATAATAATTTAACTGTGTCAGTTACTCTAAAATTATGTAAAATTGAAGAAAGTGATAAAAATATATATACATCATAGTTTCATTTTGTGAGATACATGTTTCTGAAATTTTTAACTAGACGGATCTCTCGTATATGTGAGATTGTGTAATTGACTCAGAAAATAAGTGTTCTGTTCTGTATTTTCTTTCTTCTGTTTTTCTTTTGAAAGAGGGATACACAAGTATGCAGGGAAAGTGATTTGAGGAATATGTCCTTATATATCAGGAGGTTTAGGTTCAGTCAGTGAATAAAGTAATAATTTTAAACTACATTGTGACATACACTCATTTATTCTTAAAGTTAAATGCTGACATAATTTTTCAGAGTTTGAGTGTTAAAAAGAGTTTTTAAAATCACTTTTGTTGTTTAGAGACATTAAGATAAATATGCACATACAACACAGCCCAGGAAATTACACATTTGACAAATATAGAGTTGTAGATCCTTTAAACCTTAAGTTGCATGGCACAGAAAAATTGGAAAAGGTGGTAGTTTATGTTCTATTGTTTCCTTGCTATTTCTACTTTGGAAGATGATGAGGCTGAACATAAAGGTGCATGAAGAAAAACAGTATGTTGAAATAATTGTCAACACTATCTTTGCCCAAAGCAGGGCCCAGCCACCTTCACTGAAACTGTCTGGACAGACTGTTAGGAATGCACACCCCTGGGCCCCACCTCAGCTCTCTAGGAGCAGAGTCCCTGGGACAGTATCTTTTCAAATCTCCAGCATTAAATCTGTGAGGTGATGAAAATTTCTTAAATGATAAATTGCCTAAACGAAAGCATTGCTATAGTGACTTGCAAATATTAATTTATCATCCTAGCTTATTATAGGATTATGTCAAGGCAAGTACAGTCTGGCTTTCCAAATTTGTAGAAATGCTCTAATCCTATATGGTATGTAAAAATTATGAAAACCTTACTTCCTAAGAGTTTCCACTTATTAAAAAAAAATCAAGTTACATGTATTTTCTCTTTCCAATATATTTAACAGAAGAAAAATGCAGACTGATGAGACATTAAGGTGAATACATCACATCCTAACTATTTTATAGAACACATTATCATATAGGATTTAATCAGCAAAGAAAAATTTCTACGAATATTATAAGGGAAATTGAGATTGTCAGAGGAAATTGGCCTTTTGGGATTGTAAAAAGCCTGGGGAGCAATGGTCTGGAAAGAAGAAAGGAAAGTCAGACAGAACGTACCATTAAGGCCCCCTGAAACACTGCTATGAGGGGACAAATTGTAGCTAATAAGTCCCCAAGTGCTGAAGGAGGCCTGGGACAGAGCGCTTGTGCCGAAGTCTATGGAAAGGTATTATTTTCCTGCAGCTCCTGCTGCCACAAATGTGCAGCTAAGTTTTGCTCATGGCCTTGGTGCCCACTGCTAGGTGGGAACAGGTGGACACAGAAAGTGAGGACCGCCAACAGCCCACTGGGTGCCTCTCCTTATCCATCCTCAAAGACGGTCAGAAAAAAGTGGCTGCTGCGTGCGTCTTTGGCAAACGTAACCTGACTTCACAGAGGGAAAAGACTTCTAGGAAATAGAGCTCCAGCTTCGCTAAGTTGACACAGTACCGACTGCCTTATAGACCCAAATCAAAGTAAGCCAAAGTTAGCAGCCCTATGAAAACACGATGAGCAAAGGAGACTTAATTTGCCTTCATGAAACATACTCCAAAAGGAAGAATAGAAATTTCCTTTCAAGCACATTCTCAATATTCACAAGATTGGATTAAATACCAAACCATAAAAGCAAAAAACCCAAAATGAGCAGATGTCAAATGACTGAAATCAACCAGGTAACTTTCTCTGCCTACGATGAAATAAAACTAGAAAAGATAATAAAACATGCCTGGAAGAATTGCATAACAAATTTCAGGTTATTTCGTGGATCAAAAATGTAATCAAAATGGAATGGTTCCAAAAATACTTCACTGCTTATTTTTATGGGGTGCACTAATTATATCTGTTGGGTAGTTTTTAGGGGAAATGTATAACCTTTTATTATTAGGCTATCTAAAAAAGAAAAAAGTCAAGCATCTAAAGAAGTTAGAGAGTGAAAAAAAAAGGAAGTTAGAGAACAGCAGTATGAACAAAAAAGAATAAAAAGAAGGAAAAATCAGTTTAACAGGAGAAATAGATGAACAGCACACAGGAAACATTTCTTTTAATGGGAAGATGTTATGACTACTCTCTTTGTAATTTGCAAAGCAAGTTTCAGTTTCCAGCAGTCACAGCCTGGGTTTTGTCTAGTTTGTTTTAACCAGGGTAGAATTAGGAAAAAATGGGTGAAATATTTACAATTTTAAATGAAAGCATCAGAAAATTTTGGAGCAAAGAAACCTCAAAGAACCAATAACTGAGAAATATAAACATGAATTTTGGGGAGTGTTTCCCTTGAAGAAATTAGAGATTTGAAAGCAAAAACCATACCTGACAGGAAAGGAAAAGGTCAGCTGAGTTTTCAACAGACTTAAAGTTTGAGGAATTATTTAAAATTTAGGCTTCACAAAGGATCAGACCTCCAGTAAATCCCCGAGCTGTCTACTGGGACATTATATGGAAGGACACAGAAGGGATGAAAGATGGGAAAAGATACTTCTTGGAAAGCTAAAATAATTGAAATAGATTTATGTTAGTATCACACAAAGTAGGTCATGTGACAAGACATAATTCTAGAGATGGAGAATAAAATATGTAACTATGCATTCATATAGCAATGCATGGAAAAAATATAAAAATATGTTGACATAACTAAAAGGGATAGTGAACCCATAATTTTATTTTGAGATGTTAATATGCTCTTAATGACTGATAGACCCAACAGAGGGAAAAATGCAATAAGAATATAGAAAATTTAAATGATGCATCCATTCCCCTTGACAATTAACATTACATCTCATGATGGTTGAATACATATTATTTTTCAAGTGTTTGGGAAATATTTTTTGAAAAGGAACATATCCTTGGCTGAAAAGCAGATGAGACTGATCTCAAAGGACTGAAATCATCGAGAGTATTTTTCTGATTATAACAAATTAAACTAGATGTCAATAACAAAAGATACTTAGAAAATCCCCCAAATTTTCAAAACTTAAGCAACACAGTTCTCAGCATGGCTCAGAGGAAATTCCAGTGAATGTTGGATAAGATTTGAAAACAAAAGTAAAAATTAACATTTTAAAATGTGGGAAATGCACTACATCACAATAGAAAATATTTAGAGATATTAATGTAAAAATAGCAACAATTATGGTGCTACAATAGTATATCTAGTTAACAAACAAAAGTAACTAATATTAACTACTCAGGGCTTAGTTCCTTAATAAGAAATAATATTACACAGCATTGTATAAAAATAAACAGACGGTGTTTTAATGGACTTTAATCCCCATCTACAGTAAAAACAAAATTACTAAGATGCAAAGCTTGTAATGAAAACTTAAAACAATACTGAAACAGAAAAATTAAAAGGGCATATATATCTATGAATGGATCAAAAAACTTTACAAATATCTGCTTTACTCAAGATGATGTATGTTTTATACAAATAATACAAACACCATTTTTTTCTTGGAGTGGAAAACACTGATGTACAATTTTCCTATGAAAAATAAGCAAGGAAAATGGTAGAAGCAAAAATAGCAGAAGTAGCAACATAATTAGTTAGACCATGGTAAGAAAATGCAACACTTCATATGAAAGAAACTTGTGTTGTTCTCATGGAAACAGATGCTTGTAGAAGAAAAGGGAATGCAAATTTAAAAATAAGCAATTACATTAAAAGTGAATACATCTTCTGAAGTTCATAGGAAAAAAGGTATAACCTATGTAACTCTGGAAAAAATATATGACTATATACTATAAGGATAAATACAAGTATTTATGTACTGTAATATAGTTAATTTGTTTTTCATAGGGTTATGGGTTAGCAATTCTGAAAGTTCTTATGTGCATATTAGAGGTGAGGAAATATTTGAATGATTTAGATAATGAGAATAAGAGTTTTCACTCTCAGATAAAGAAGTTGTGACTAAAAATGAGTAGGTAACCCACGAACCCTTTCATGTCAGACTGAAACTGAAGGTAACAAAATAACTCAGGTAGACAGGATGTAGATCAAGGTGTGTACAGAGATGTGGCAAATAAATGACATGCTGGGTCCTAGGTTTGGCTCCCAGACTTGACAAAAGGGTGTCAGTGGGGAAATGGGTAACATTAAAATGAGGTCAGGGCTGGGGATTTAGCTCAGTGGTTCCAGCGCATGCCTTGCAAGCACAAGGACCCGAGTTTGATCCCTGGTACCAAAAACAACAACAACAACAACAAAAACTAAAAAAATAAAAAAAATAAAATGAGGTCAGTAGTGTCATTTGTAGGATTATATCAATGTAAACTCCTTTGGAAACTTGTACCACAGTTGATTAAGACTTTAAAGTGGAAGTTTGAGTAAATGGCAAACAACTCTGTACTGTATTTGCAATTCTTTTAAGTCTGAAATTCAAAATGTATTTTTAAAAACTAATAAAATATCATGGACAATTGAATAGATTATAATTACTTTAATCACTGTCTAATGTATTAAATTTGATTAATTCTATTAATTCTGGTAAGCATACTTTGATTAAATAGGAGGAATAGCCTTTTTCTTAAAAAACATATTGTAGTCAGAGGTAAAATGACACATCCCTGATATAATGTCAAATGGCCCATCAAATACATAAATAGAGAAGGAGGATTGATTGGAATTATTAAAAATTTGAATCTACACAGTTAAGTATATTGTGTTATTTCATTATACTATTTTCAACTCTTCCTATATTTGAAAATGCTTAAAATAATATGTTAAGAAAACATGCAGTACCCCTTCTGTTCAAAATGCATGTCCTAGTCACAAAACAGAAAGAAGAGGAGAACTTATAATAGCCACAAAGGAAGAAATAACTAATATTTTCAGCTTTAAGCAGTAACTATCCAATGTTTATCCTAAAATGAATTGTGGATCATTTTATTTTTTTAGGTATGATAAAGGCTATAATTTTGAGAGCTCATTTCTTTTAGCAATACATCCTCAGTGTGTGATGGCTGGAAATTCCTCCTACAATTCTGGGTGGGGCAGAGCAGGTTAACTCAGAAGGGGACCTAAATAGTGTATGATTGCCAGGTGTTATATTTGTTGAAGTTTAGGTTTTAAGGGCCAGGTGGTTTTGCTTTTGCAGAAATAATTTTCAAATTAAAAACACATACCTGCATGTAAAACTGCACATGGTGTGATAGGTAATTTCGCTCTGGAAATCCAATCAAAATATCTTTATCTTTAGAAATAAAAATTTATAAACTACAGAGATGTGGTATGAGTAGAAAAGCGACAGTGAAAATATATTCTATGTATTGCAGCATTGTTTTTAATGGGAAAATATAGAAAATAATGGAGATTCTATTGTATTTCTTGAGAAAAAACAACTTTAATAATTTTTCCAGTGCCTCTGAGTACAATTGAGTTCCTCATTTAACTTAGACTAGAAATGGAGGTAAGCAGCAGAAATATTTTTTGTCTGTAATTACAACATTCTTTTCGTGATCTCCCCCTGCTGGTCGTCAAGGAGAAATAGACTTGTTATTTCTCGGTTTCTGACTCAGTGGGAGTCAGTCAAGTGAAAAGGCCCTGTAAGTGGTTTCGTAATTCTTGGAAGAAAGCGCTCAGTGTCTTGTGCAGCGTGTGTTCCCTCATGCTTGTGTTTCGGATATGGCACGCCAGTTTACTGCTGGGCAGAAGTATGGCACAAGTAAAGAAGGACGTCTGGCGAGCTCACTGTTTCTCGCCAAAATTAACTTTCTAAATCTCGTCACTGGAAGCCCTGCTGGCATTCTCTGCAAGTGAAATTGTAACATAGTCTTTTGACTTGGGTAATACTCTGAGCATGAGCGAGCATTCTATTTGTCAATTCTATTCTCCTTTGGATTTTGCTAGCAGAGATCCCCTGCGTTTTTGTTGTATTCCCCATCCACACTCTGGTCCAGTGTTGAACTATCGGTATGCTCTACACAGTGCACCTAAGGTCAGTTCACAGGTTCTCATCCCAGAATGCACGCCACAAAATGTTAAAGGGGCATGGCAAGGACATCTTACCAGAACCGCCCAGACCTATATGAGGCTGCCCGTATTAATATGAGCCCTCTGTAAAACTTCCTAATTTCCTGTTAAAATCCCCAACTTAAAAGTAAGGCAACATTTCCCCTGCTCCTCTACTTGTAGAAATTGCGGAAGGATGCCTACTTAGGATGAGATACCAAGGACTGAGAGAGTGGTAGAGGGAATGGAGAACATGTTAACCAATGAGGTATCATTATGGGAAAACAGAGTTCAATTCAACAGAGAAAATCTCCAAGAGACTGCTTTTTTAAAGCCTGGAATTATTACACAGAGAGACGAATGAGAGAGACTCATGATCCACCAACTTCCACGGCTCTTGGATTTAAGATTGCTTCTAGGAATGACAATTTCCCAGTGCACCTAGCTTCCCAACCAGACAAGCACTTCCCTCTATAAGGTCTCTGAGGGAAGGAGATGCAGTGAGAGTGCTGTCAACATCCATGAAAACTGTCCACTGAAGCGACAGCTGCTCTCTGGCTGAGTGAGCGGGTGGGTGAGGCATCAGTGGCGTTTGCTTATCTCCTCGCATGCCATTAGGACACATAATGCCCTCTGTTTGGAAGCATAGAAAGAGGAAATTCAGATCTATGTCTCATCAATGTGCCTTCCTCCTCTGACTTCATTTGAATCACCATTTTCCATAGCTGTACCTTGTTTACACCTTGCTGTTTCCTAATGTGAAATCCTGTCTTGCATAAGTTTTAAGTTGTTTGCTTTATGCCCTGGGGGCACTCTGTGAACAGCACCTTAGATTGAACTCTTGATTTGTTAAAGGGAAGCCGAATTTATTTTAAAACACAGTCTAATTGACATAAGAATATATATCATAAGATTCACCAATATAAAACCTCCTGGCTTTTAGCTATCATTGTGCGAACATAGCTTTCATTTCTTTTGGTTAGAAGTGGAACTGTTTCTTATGGTTAATCTCTTTCATTGTTTGAGAATCCAAATGAATTTAATAGATATTATTTCACTATATGTAATGCCTGTATTTCAAGATTATTAGGGTCCACACATTCCATTTTGAATTTTAGAAATTGGGTATATTATAGTTTGTCTTTACATGCTTTTTAAAATAAATCCTAATTATCTCAGCTGAACAAACACCTTGTTCTAAAGTAATTTTAGAAGTTGGATATATTATAGTTTGTCTTTACATGCTTTTTAAAATAAATCCTAATTATCTCAGCTGAACAAACATCTTGTTCTAGAGATATGAAAAATCTCACAAGTAATTGTCAAAATATTCTCTTTCCTATAAAAAACAAGTGTTTGTATGACTCTAAAGATAAGTGAAGATATCCAGAAAATGTCATTGGTGGCTTCCACAGAGCAGGATGAGGGAGTAGGGAGAATACATTTTCATTTTTAATTATCTGAAACCTGTCATTTCAATTTGCTAAAATGTGTATAGAATATATTATTAATATTTAAAGTCTAGGTAATCCAAAATGGTGAAAATTAATCAAAACATTATGAAATCGCCTTCCAGGATTCATGGCTTTGGACTACCCAAAGTCAAAAGCTTTCAGCCTTACATAAACTCAGTTGCAATTTTGAAATGGAAAGCTAGAAACGTCCTAGTGAAACTTACACTGTATTTCTGTGAAACTATTTGAAGTCATAGATTATAAAGCCATTAAACTTTTGAATAGGTTCTGTGTGTTGTTTCCCCCCAAAGTACTTTTTATCTCAAGGTTAATGCCACATCCCTTGTAAACTGAGTATGAAAGCTATAAAACACAAGATTTCCTTTGGCCCCAGAGGGTAGGAAGCTCAGCTACAGATTGGCAATGTAATTCCCCAGTTCATTGCATCATCGTCATCAACATCTCCATCACAACAACTGTTTGCTGATTCTTTGAACTGTCTTTGTGCTTCACTAGCAGACACTAGCCTTGGAACTAAATGCACAATATTTTCTTTGACCTTCTTAAGAACCATGTAAGATAAGCTTAATTATCTTTATTTTGGCCCTGAAAACTAAGGCTTGAAGGTACTAATTATCCTTCTGAAAGATGCATAATTCATGTCAGAGCAAGAATTTA